AAAAAAAAAAAAAAAAAAAAAAAAAAAAAAAAAAAAAAAAACCCTATCTAAAGAAAAACACCTTAATCCTTAGTACATCTTTTTGGTCACAGTTTAAGGATTTCAGAGGAAAAATAATGCCAACCCAAGGTCAGCATGAGCTACACGGCAAATTTTACAGCTGTGTCATGACAGGGTCTCAAAACAAAACATGCCGGGCGGCGGTGGCGCACACCTTTAATCCCAGCACTCAGGAGGCAGAGGCAGGTGGGTCTCTGTGAGTTTGAGGCCAGCCTGATCTACAGAGCCAGGACAGTCAGGGCTACACAGAGAGACCCTGTCTTGGGGAAAAAAAAAAGGAAGAAAGGAAGGAAGGAAGGAAGGAAGGAAGGAAGGAAGGAAGGAAGGAAGGAAGGAAGGAAGGAAGCAAGCAAACTAAAAACTACAATCAGTATTTATTTCTTAATCAGACAGATGCAAGCACATTATTTCCCCCTTCATTTGTCCTCATCCTCCTAGTTTACAGCTGCCACATCTGAAAAGCAGAATCTCACAAGTTCCGAACAATTGCCCAGAGGTAGTAAGACTGCTCACTGTACTCAATCATTACAAGAAATAGCACAAAATTTAATAAACACTCTATGAAATAGGAGACAGTCAAAGAAACCCAATCTCTCTAGTCAGACTAGGCAGGTAACTATGAAAGAGCTTCTTACAGCATTCCATGTGAAACAGTGAACATCAAACCATCCTCAGGCACTCGGTACAAAGTGTTCTTCAAAGACAAGATGTATAGAGCAAGGGGTTTAGCAAGATGACATACCACGTCTAAGGGAGCATAGTCAATATCCTCCAGAAGGATCCAATAGCCTTTTGTGGCTGCCTGTGTCAGGGTGCCAGGTTGCCATACAAACTCTCCAGGGACATCTGTACAACGATACATGCCCAATAGCATCTGTGGAAAGAGGTTAATTAGAGAAATCATGCACCTGAGATAACAAGGCTACTTCCTTGAACAAGTCCTGTGAAATTTCAACAAGGAAAGGAGGCATGTGAGGTTTACAAAGCTTACCCCAAAGCCAAAAGGGCGGGCAATAACCATTCCTTAGCATAAATATTAGAATGCTGATATCTGCAAAGACACCAACCGAGCAATACTTGTCACTTAATTACCTTGCTGTCGGTCTGATCTCCCAGCTGGACTTTGAGAAGTTGAGGAGGTTTCCTTCTACCTGTCATTGCAGCTAAATATTCAACTAAAGAAGTTTTGCCACTTCCTATTGGCCCTTCCAGCAACACAGCATTCTGAGAAGCCACTGCAACAGCAAGGGTCTGAAGATTTTTACACACAGACTCAACCAACACAAAGGATTTCAGAGCCAGCTCCTGGTCCCGTGAAGAACTCCTGTCACTTGCCTAAGGAGAAAAATAAGAAAAAAAAAGACTATTTAATAAGAGACCTTCCCCCAAATGACACAAGTTAAGTTCTGTAACAATGCTTCTACTGACTTTACATTATAATAACAAGTGTCAACTAAATTCAGGATAATTTCTTCATATTTTTAAAATTATTTTTTATGTAGAGCAAAGGTGGGAGGTACTGTCTTTATTTTTTAAATTTTAAAATAATTTTATATTATGTGTATGGGCATTTTGTATGTATGTCTGTGTACCACATGCGTACTTGCTGCCTATGAAGACCAGAAGAGGGCTTCAGGTCTCTGGAGCTGGAGTCACATGCAGCTGTGAGCTGTGACTGCTGAAGAGGCTGAACTGTGGTCTCAGCAACAGGAGTAATCACTCTTTTGTTTGTTTGAGACAGGGTCTTTCTCTGTAGCTCTGGCTGACCTCAAACTCAAAGGCTGTCTCTGCTTCCTGAGTGCTAGGATTAAAGGCATGCACCACCACACTTGGCCCAGTAACCGCTATTAACATTGGAGCTATCTCTCCAGCCCCAGATGTGATGATATTTTGTTGTACTCTAATAAAACTTGCCTGAAGATCAGAGGACAGAGTCAGCCACAGAGTTAAAACATGGAGTTCAGGCAGTGGTGGCACACACCTTCCCCCCACCCCCACCCCCCCACCCCCAGGGACGAGCCAGGGCCTTTCAGAGCTAAATCCCCAACCCCAAGGTATGAATTAGGCACACACCTTTAATCCTAGCACTCAGGGGGCAGAGATCTGCTTGGATCTCTGTGAGTTCAAGGCCACACTGGACTACATGAGATTGATCCAGAGAAACAGAGCCAGGCAGCAGTGGCACACACCTTTAATTCCAGCACTTGGGATCACACACCATTAATCTCAGCACTAAGACGGCTGAGATAGGAAATGAAATGGCTGGGCACAGAAAGGTATATAAGGAGACAGGAACCAAAAGCCCTTTCAGCTGAGGACTCAGAGGCATTCAGTCAGGGGATTCGTGGAGTAGATAAGATGAAAATTGACTGTGGCTTGTTCCTTTGTCTCTCTGATCTTTCAGCATTTACCCCAATATCTGGCTCCGGGTTTTTATTAATAAGACCATTTGAGATTCATGCAAGACCAGGATAATTTCTAAATCAATTTAAGAGCCTCATCAATCACCAATAGCTTTTGTTTTATTACTCTTTCAACATTCTATAATTTTATACTTAAGATTAACAATGCTTTAACTACAGTTCCAAGGTATTCAACACAAATTCTGACCTTCAAGGGCTTCTGAACTCATGTGGTGTACAAAACATACACTCAGGCACACACACCCACACATAAAAATTTGTAAAAACTTTATAAGATCAGCCGGGTGGTGGTGGCGGCGGCCCACGCCTTAAATTCCAGCACTCGGGAGGCAGAGCCAGGCGGATCTCTGTGAGTTCGAGGCCAGCCTGGGCTACCAAGTGAGTTCCAGGAGAGGCGCAAAGCTACACAGAGAAACCCTGTCTCGAAAAACCAAAAAAAAAAAAAACTTTATAAGATCAACAATTCATGAACTAGCAATCTAGCTACATGTTAAGTGCATGTTAAGCTGCATCTCTTGCACAGATGCAGAAGCACACACATACTAAAAGAGTGCACAGTCTGTGGAATAACAGAAAATCTGGGCACTGCGAGAATGCATTATGTATGTTTCAATGCACCTAATTTTTTCAGGTACAGTAAGAACTTCAGTCTCCTGTTTTGTCTCGTCATCCCGGCCTAACCAATCAAGGGCTTTTCTACCAAGTTATATCCTTAGTCCTTAAGTATGTCTCAGCACCAGTCTTGGTTTATTGTTTTGTTCTTTTCTATTGTTGAGACAGAGTCTGGTTGTGTTATTTAAGCTGGTCTCAAGAGTCCTCCTGCTTCAGCCTACTGAGTAGCTGGAACCACAGGCTTGTGTAACTATGCCCAGCTTTGAATTCTGCTAAAGTTCAAGGCATAACACAAGTGGCATTATATTTCTAATTTCAGATTTAAAGGCGATGAAGGGAATAGTCAGGAGAAACTCAAGGTGAATTTATCTTTAATTCTCCATAACTTCTAAAATGGAACAGCACTTTAGCAAACTCAATGTGGATTACACATGATTCATGTACCCTGACCAAGGAAACGGCACACTCAGGGTTTACAGAGCAAAGCACCACTGAAGCTGTAATACCTGTTCTCCAGAACCAGATGGTTGTTTGGGCAGCACTATACCACAGACAGCCGTCACACTGGAAGAGAGGTCAGCTGAAACAAGGTGTCCCTGAATGTACTGGGGCTCCTTTCCCTTGTGCCAAAGGGAGGCTTTTGGGTTAGCCAAAACCAAGGCCTTCTCCAAGTCCTGCAGCTGGGCCTCTTCTAACAACCTAAGAGAAAAAGAAAAAAGAGTTCCATGAAATCCACACGGAAAACACACAAAAGACCTCCAGGAAATCCACGCTTACCTCAATCTGAAATGCACCAATTCGTCACTACTGAAAATCTTCCTTAGGAAGGCTAACTTGTGCTCTTCATTCATGCAGGTCACCAAAGCAAGACAGTTAGCTGTATGCCTGAGGAAAAGGGAAGCATATCAATTCTGCTGACCTACAGTTGATTAAGAAAAGTGCCTGTCTGCTAAGCACTAGAAAATGAATTCTTCCCTATCATAACATACACTTATGAGTAAAACACAAAATAAACATGATGAATTCATTTAGCAGCACAGGAAAAAGGGTCAAACTCCATGTATATCATCTTTTTCTGAAGCAACACTGGATAAAGGGGGTAAGAACTAAAAATTCACAGTAACAAAATGATCTAGGACTGGACAGAAGAATCAGCAGTTAAGAGTACAAACCTATAGACAACACACATACACATAAAATAAATAATTTAAGAAAACCACATCTAGCCAGGTGATGATGGTGCATGCCTTTAATCCCAGCACTCAGGAAACAGAGACATGAAATCTCTGTGAGTTCAAGTCCAGCCTGGTCTACAGAGTGAATTCCAGGACAGCCAAGGCTAAACAGAGAAAGAAAATAAAAAGGAAAACCACATCTAAAGGGTTTTTCTTTGTCCCTCCCCACCGCCACCCAAGTCAAAAGCATAGGCTAAACCACATACCAGCGCACCAAAGCATCATGGCTCCTGAGGAGAGGCACACACACACTCCAGTCCCAGAGCTCCCGGAAAACAAGCTGCCTCTGCTGCAGAAATGTGTGGGCAGCTTCCATTAGGTCCCGGAGCTTCATTCTCCTGCGTCCATAGCGTACGGGGTTAGCATCGGAACTCTCAAGGAAGAGTCTCTGAAACACTGGGTAGGTGTCCTTGAAATAGCGCAGGGCAAACCTTCAGGAGGGAAGATGGTAGGTATCGTCATTCATTGGTACAAGCAGCCAAGTGCCTATCCATCCTTACGGACAGAACTGGGGAAATGACTATCTTCATTCCCTAGAGAAGCAGCCAAGTGCCCATTCGTACTGATGGACAGAATTGTGGATCTTAACAGAACTCTTGGTACCTCAGAACAGTGGGAAGAACAATGCTGAAGCCACACAGTCCTAAAGACTGAACCATTCCAGTTCAGGAACAGGCCCTAGCATGAGACACCAGATCAGAAGCTGCAATCACCAAGGCTTTACCCACAAAAGCAGAGCTATCCTGAGTGATAATTACTGACTGTACTCATAGAACACTTACTGAATTCTCACTACTATGTCACTATCTAGAGATAGGAAAATCCATGCTCTAACTCTTCTTGACATGCCGCTGAGTAAGGGAGAGCCACTTACAGAAAGAGAGGAGGAATGAAAACAGAAATGTTCAACTGAATCAGGGAGGTAAAACCAGGTGCTTAGGATACATCTTAAAGCATACAGAGGAAAAGCTGGGCAGTGGTGGCGCACGCCTTTAATCCCAGTACTCAGGAGGCAGAGCAGGTGGCTCTCTGTAAGTTTGAATCAGCCTGGTCTACAGAGTTAGTTCCAGGATAGCCAGGACTGTTTTACAGAGAAACCCTGTCTTGAAAAACAAAAAACAAACAAATAAATAAATAAACAAACAAACAAATAAATAAAAACCAAAAAAAAACAACCAAACAAACAAAAAGCATTCAGAGATCTTTATGAGCACACACACAAATAATAATAATAATCATTAGTTGCAAATGAAACACAAAGTTCAAGAACACATCACCAAGAGAAAGAGTATGTAACAGGTGGAGAAGCGGAGAAGTCTTCTGACAGGAAATAAAGTAAGGAGGCAGCAGAACCAAGTAATCCCTGTGCTGAGAGGCTATAGTAAACGTACTGAATGGTTTCTGCAGATACATTCTTCTCTGGAAAAGCAGAGAGTCCATGAGAAACACTGGTACAGACATATGGGCACACGTGGGCAGAGGCACACATGAATACATAAGAGAAATTTAAAAACACCTAGACACAAAGGAAACTAAAGCTGCAACCTACCGAAAAGTACAGGACACAGCCAAAGCAGTGCTAACTGGGAAGACTATACCTAACAAGCAACTACAAATTAGAAGAAACCAAATACCACCAGTGGTGGTGGTACACGCCTTTAATTCTAGCCCTTGGGAGGCAGAGCCAGGGATCTTTGTGAGTTTGAGGCCAGCCTGGTCTACACAGTGAGTTCCAGGACAGCCAACACAGAGAAACCCTGTCTCACCACCCACCCCAAAAAAAAGAAACCAAGTCAACAGACAAAAAACAGAGTGCAGTAATAAAAACAATGTTACTAAAAAGGGCTTTTCCAAACAGAGAACCAAACTTGTAAATCTTCAGATTTGGATAGGGAAAAAGGAGAGAGAAGACTGAAAGAATTAGTATCAGGTGTCTATACTCCCAGAACTTCAGCAGTTAAGGCAGGAAGATCATTAATTTCAAAGTCAGCAAGGGCTATGTACATACAGAAAATTTCTTTAACTTCCTCTCAATTATGTATGAACATAAAACAGCCTTAAAATACTTAAGTCTTAAAAATATAAATAACAACTGTATTATTAATTAATATGTTCTTAATGACATTAAGAGTTTTATTTTATAAATACGTATAAAGGACTAGAGGTGTAGCTGCATGGTAGAACACGTACCTACCATGCACAGGGCAACAAAAAGCAAGGGGAAAAAAATACATAAACATTCTAAAAATGACTGGGTTGATGGTTGCACATAACATGAATATACAAAAAGAGCCAATGAATCGCTCTTAACTGTGTATGAGCTATGCAGTCATTTTTAAATTGTACAATCTCCAATATGTGTACAAGATAAATAAATACATGTGAGAAAATGTTAACAGAAGTTTGAGGTTTGTTGTTCATCAAAAACCTGAGACAGAGATTGGTAAGAGCAAATGAGTTAATTTACAGTTTGAGCCAGAGGCCAGAGGTGGGGGGAAGGGAGGGTTTGCTCAGATTCTCTTTTTGCCTGAAGCAGCACAATTTACAGAAATCTTAGTTCTGGAGACACTTCCTCCTTTGGCAAAGGGACTCAGGCTATTGCCCCCATGAACCCCGAGTCCCTATGATACTATTACAACATGCTCTTTTTGCCCATTCTGGAATCTTGAAGGATTTGGGGTGCTATGTGCTCTCGAATGCTAGACTGATACAGAAATTGCTGAACTATGCCTGTGACTGAAAGAAAAGCAATAAACATAATAGAAGTAAGCACCCATGGCAGAAATTTTCACGTGTCAGATAATCATGCTTAGGAACTTTGTCTTGCTGGGTGGTGGTGGCGCACACCTTTATTCCCAGCACTTGGGAGGCAGAGGCAGGTGGATCTCTGAGTTTGAGGCCAGCCTGGTTTACAGGGTGAGTTCTAAGACAGCTAGGGCTGTTACACAAAGAAACCTTGTTTCAAACCACCCCCCAAAAGACCCTTTTTTTTTGACCCAGAGGACAGGGAGGGGAGCTATGAAATGTTGTCTTCTAGACAGGACATGGTCACTGCAGTCATGAATTCACCTAAGCAGCACCAAGCCAAAAATCAGTCAGCATTCCAACAGGCTGCACTAAATGAACTCAATGGATTACAAAAATTAAAAAAAGGACATAAAGCAAAGAGGGGACATGCTGGCAGGAGGGGGGGTGTCTGTACGGAGTCGGGTGGCACATTTTAGTACTAGCACTAGGGAGGTAGAAGCTGGTGGATGTCTCTGAGTCCCAGGTCAGCCAGGGATACGTAGTGAGACCCTATCAAAATAAACACATACACCCTAAAAATCAAAATCTTATTATTCATAATCACCCACAGTTCATTTTAACCATACATCAAATTGTCATTTACACACAACATTTTTATGTTTTCCTTTATTCCAGTGCTGGGAATCCAGCCCAGAGCCTTACACATGCCAGATTAGTGACCTATCACTGAGTCACATTCTTAATACTCTCTGGACATTTTAAATTTACTATAATACAGTGCCTTTTATAAGCTGTATTATTTTTGGAACATGGCAAAAAAATGAAATATACTGCCTTGGAAAAATGAAAAGGTAAGCATTTGTCTAACATTCATTTAAGAACATAAAATTTAGCTGGGCGAGGTGTCACACACCTTTAATTCCAGCACTCAGAAGGCAGGGGCAGGTGGATCTCTGTGAGTTTTAGGCCAAAACCAAACAACAAAAGAACATAAAATTGGATGTTGGTGGAAAACTGGACAGCAAATTCCTAAGCTTATTGAATCTCTAACATAATCCTGACACACTCTGCCAGGAAAGCTCACTAGAGATGGCACTTCTACCACAGTTCAGTGCTAAGGCTACTTCTGTCTGCTTCTCCAACAGCGTATAAAAACACAGCCCCTTCATTGCTGCTGCTTCTTCTTCTTCTTCTTCTTCTTCTTCTTCTTCTTCTTCTTCTTCTTCTTCTTCTTCTTCTTCTTCTTCTTTTTTTTTTTTCTTTTTTGGTTTTTCATGACAGTTTCTCTGTGTAGCCCTGGCTGTCCTGGAACTCACTCTGTAGACCAATCTGGCCTCAAACTCACAGAGATCCGCCTGCCTCTGCCTCCCCAGTGCTGGGATTAGAGTTGTGTGTCACCACTGCCCAGCCCTTCATTTTTTCTTATGTGAGGACCAGATGAAAACCATATCAAGCAACACACTGTTTGGAAGGAAAGCCCTTAGTCTTCTCAACTTAAAAACCCACAGGAGACACAACCTACTACAGACGTAACCATAAACACATTCGAATCCAGCTCTAACACAGCTGTTAATCTGATGATTTGGGGTGGTGGGAGTGGTGCTGGGGACTGAACACCAGGCCTTACGTGACAGTGTCAAGTTGAGGGACACTCCTAGTCTGAAGCTGCTTTTCCCGATGAGATTTTATTATTTATGTGTCTGTGTGTGTCTATATGCATGTGCATTTGGGTGCCCGTGGAGGCCAGAGAGTTTGTCAGACCCCTGAAGTGTCAAAAGCTGATGCTGGTGCTGGGAACCACACTCTAGTCCTCTGAAAGAGCAGGAAGAACTCTTAATCCCCAAATCATTGCTCCAGCCCCCTAGAAGCTAGTTCTCCTTTTAGTGATTCCAGAAAGAATTCTCACCCAACTTCACATCTACCTCCTAAGTACATCCTGCCAAATTCTGAGATGACTGAGGACGCCGTGGCGGTTTCCTCACACCTGTAATGACAGCTAAGCCAGGGGCAGGGATGCACACCTGACTCTCAGCACTTGGTAGACTGAGAGCCTGAGGCTAGACTGGGGTGCTCAGGAAGAGCTCCTGAGGAGATGGCTGATGCCGCCAAGCCTGAACACATGAATTCAACTCCTAGGAAACACATGGCAGAAGGAGAGAACTGACCCTACTCTGTCCTCTGTGCCACCCTCTACAGAATTAAAAACTGAATGTTAAAAAACAAAAACAAAACCCACAGGGGTATGCTATATAGTGGAGGCTGGCCCCAAACTCACAAGCCTCTTATCTCAACCTCCCAAGTGCTCTGGTTACAGCAAGGGCCATCCCACCAGACTTGAGAGAAGAGGTTATCACCTCACAGAGAATATGAATCAAACTGCTACTCACGGAAGAACGTCAGGATGGTTACCAATGAGTTTGCTCATTGACACACTGAGACGTTCATGTAGATCATGGTTAACTTGGCCTCCAATTTTAATGGCTTCAGCATTTCTTTCCAGCAAATCCAAAAGGATAGGGCGCAACTGGCGACCAAGCAAAAGGGTATAGTCCTTATCAAGGAGCAACTGTGCCAAGGAATTCAGGATACACTGGCGATCTTGAGGTGTCCACACCTGAGTAAAAAGCAAGACAAATGTTTATGTAAACAATATTCTTTAGTACTGGAAGGATCAGAGATCTAGCTAAAATCAAAACACTAATTTCTAAATTTCTTAAGTGAGTTCATAATAAAAGTATGGTTCTGTTACAATAAAAGATTAAAGTTTGTTACTGAGAGTTCCAGTCCACTGAGGTTACAGACATTTTAGAAAACTAATATTTAGGATTCCATTTTAAATGATATGCAACTTTACTCAACAGTAAATGTTGCAGGGTCTCAACACTGTCCAGGGAATATAAAACCCAGTGTTCCTATCTCCTTTGCTCTTCAGAAATGAAAACATAATTCTATGATTACTTCCAACCATGATAAAACACACCTCTAAGAAAGGACATACATATGAAAGTAAGGTATAGCAAGCTATGTTATTGGACGATCTTTGGATCACCAGGCCCCAAATAACAACACGGAGACTTGTTATATTAATTATGAAAGCTTGGCCTTTAACTTAGGCTTATCCCCAACAATCTCTTATAAAATAAATTAGCCTGCTTCTATTAATCTATGTTTTTACCGTGTGGCTTTTTTTTTTTTTTTTTTTACTCCTCCACTAGGTATGTGGTCTGCATCTCGCTGGTGAGTCCCTGTCTCTCCGCAGAATCCTCTCTCTCTCCAAAAGTCTTGCCTATTCTTTCCTGTCTAGCTACTGGCCATTCAGCTTTTTATTAAACCAATCAGAAGGCGCCTTAGGCAGAGACACATCTTTACAGTGTAAACAAATATTCTACAAGCATAAGTAAGCTCTGGGTTCAATTCCCAAAAACAACGAAGATAAAATTAATTCCTGAAAATAAACCAAGCTAAAATTAGCAAAACAAAATTAGTATTAACAAGCACACTTTGAGATGCCTGAGGAGGTAAATCACAAAATCCTACTGTGTGGTCTCAGAATGTCCCTAAGCATAAAAAAGAAAATTGAGAAGTATGTGTGTGGGTGGAGTCCTCACACTGCTTGTATGTAGACCCATTAGCAGAACTTACCCACTTTTTAGCAATGTGTAATATCAGATTTAAATTTCCAAAGTGGGTATATAACCTCTGATCCAATGTTATGACTTCATCCTCCCCAAGCTGCTTTTGGTCATGGTGTTTTAACAGAAACTTAAAAATAAGATAGCAAACATAACAAAGTTTCCAAAATTACCACTCAAAGGGAAAGAAATTTAACAGATTCAGCCATGACACTGAGAGGTAATTGCACTTTTTAACTGCAGAAATGTCCCTATAAGCAAGTGTTCCTAAAAGACCACTTTAAAGAGGAGTACTCTACAGTTTGAGGTCAGCCTGGGCTACCCAGTTGAGACCCTGTCTCAAAAAAGGAATTCCACTCCAGGGTCCAAGGGTTTTTGTTAACTTACTTAGGTTTGGTTTGATTTGACACGGTCATGCTATGTTTCCCAAGCTGGCCACAAGCTCACAGCAATCCTAAATTCTCTACCACCCCATCCAGCCCTGCACCACCAAGTAATGTTAACTATGGGTGTGCAGAATAAGCCCAGATTCTACTGTCAGAAAGTGTGGTTCTAAGCTCCATTTCATACCATGTTCAGAATAATCTTACTAATTTTATCCAATCTTTTTCTAGTTATGTATGGCAATGGGGCTAATCAAAAGAAGATAGACATGTAATTTTCCTATCTTACAGCATTAAAAGGCTATATATTTGGAGACCTACAGTATATTCAGCGGTAGTATGTAGTGGGTAGCCATTCCAGCTTTGATCTGGAAGTTCCAACCTCCACTGAGGCTTCGTTAACTGTCACGCCTACAAGGCGGGGCCAAGAGAGGAACCTGAAGACCCAAGATCCCGATGGGCCGCCTCTCTTGGTCCCTGGATCCTGGATGGTGGAGGTAGACCTAACAGAGTTCTCCAGAGAATACTGCCGGACTACACTGCGTCTTTCCCAGACCCTGCAACCTACCTATCCCTTCATTTGTAAGTTACACCACTAAATAAACCTCCCTTTTAACTACGTGGAGTGGCCTTAATAATTTCACCAATAGAAGTAGACAATTGGCCTATCATGTACAAGGGTGGGCTTAATACCCAGTACCAGAAACAAACAAATCATGTATTTCTTTTCATCCTAGGTACACAGAGTATAAAAAAGGATATAAAAGTTGCAATGGGTGACTAACAAGTTTCCAGTCTATTGTAAAACAGGATTTATGTTGGATGATTTCGCCTAACTATAAGCTAATAAACGCTCTGGAGAGATGGCTCAATGGTTAAGAGCACCTGCTGCTCTTCCAGAGGACCTGAGTTCAATTCCCAGCACCCATATGGCAGCTCACAACTATCTGTAAACCCAGTTCCAGGGGATCCAACACCCTCACACAGATATACATACAGACAAAACACCAACACACATAAATGCTCTGACTATGTTTAGGGTAAACTAGGATATCTGGCAGGTTAGGTATATAATTTTATTTTGACTATTTTCCGATATATCCCATTGTAAGCCAAGGAGCATGTGCTGGTGATCTTGGAGGGACTTAAAAAGAAAACATTAATAATTTAATATTTATTTATTTATATTTAAAGTATATGAGTACTCTGCCTGAACATATATATGCACATCTTGTATGTGCCTGGTACCCACCAAGGCCAGTAGAGGGTCAGATTCTCTGGAACTGGAGTTACAGACAGTTCTTGGCTGTCATGTGGATCTTTGCAGAAATAAATGTTCTTAATCACTGAACCATCTCTCTAGTCCCTTAGAAAGACTTTTACAAATAAAAAATTTAAACTAGTCTTCTAGCACTACCAAAACACTATTATAAATGGTTGGCTTAAAGTAACAAACAGTACTGCCACATTTATTTCTGGAGTCTGAAGTCAAGGTCTTGGCAGAGACACATTCCCTCTTAAACATTTACAGGAGCATCAGCCTTCTTGACACTTCATGGCTTCTGGCAGTGGCTATCAGTCCTTCATGTTCCTTCACTTTCAGTTACATCACTCCACTCTCAGCCTCTGTCAGAATCACCAAGGTCATCTCTCTGCCCTTTGATCTCATTTTTACTTTTGTGATGCATGGTTGGATGGTTAGTATGGTCAAACTGACCAAATCTAGACTCACCTAAGAACACCTAGAACCATCCTTTGGACACATCTGTGAGGGATTCTCTACAAGGTCAGCCTCTCAGTGTCAGTGAGGGACTCCCTCGGTTATGTTAACTGATGTGGGGCAGGATCACTCCTGGGCAGATGTGGACTGTAGAAATGGAGAGAGGCAAGCAGCAGCATTCCCCCTCTGGAACCCCAACTGTGGACACTGAGCAGCAGCTTCCTGCTCCTGCTGCCTTGAGTTACCAGTCACAGCGCACTGCACTTTTCACTTGTGAACCAGAGTAAGTTTCCCCCTTTGTGTTTTTATCAGGGTATCACAGCAACAGAAAAGGAACTAGGATGACTTCATTATGGCAGCAAGGCTCCACTTCCAAATGACATCACACTGAGAAATAGGAGAGGCCAGGACTTCACTATTATTTTTGGTGGATTCGAGTTTTGTTTTACAGTGCTGTGAATCAAAGCCCTACTACAGAGCCACATCCCCAACTTTGGTAGACACATCGAACCATTAAACCGGTGCTGTCCTAAGTTTTCTCAATTCCCTACCACGAATAAAACTACCTAAAGAGATTTCAAGTAATGAAGGCAAGCATAATGGTACATGCATGCAATCCCCAACAGTTGGGGAGCTGAGGCATGAGGGCTACAGGTTCAAAACTTCCTGGGCTACATAGTAAGGTGTGTGGGGTTGAAGGTTAGAGTAGAAAACTAGAAGGAAATGGAAAGCCAAGCAACAGCATGTGCTTACAGTTACTGCTGTTCACAAGGCTAAGGTAGGAGGATGGATTGAGCCCAGAAGCTCTAGGCCAGAATGGACAACATAGTAAGTCTCAAAACAACAAAATTGAGGACTGGGGACTAGCTTGGCCGATCAGAATACTTACCTAGCATTCATGAAGCCCTGGGGAATTTGCTCACCAACACATCTAATAGGGGAAGATGGTTCATGTCTGTAACCCTAGCATTTGGGAGGCAAGTCAGGAAGACCAAAAGTTCAAGATCACTCTTGGCTACACATTCAATCAATAAATATATTTCTAAAATAAAATGTTTTTATTAAGACCTATGAATGTGTAAATGCAAGAACTGAAAAGAGGGGGCGGCCAGAGCAAGTGCGAGTATGTATGGTAGCAGTAACACGGGACAATCATATAACGAACTTTCTCTTTTTGTGCACCAGCCTGTTTCCTGGCTGCTAGGACAAGAAAGCACTGAATGTTCAAGGTTTTACCCTCCAAACCCAAGTCTACCACAACACCCAGGTAACTGCATTCTTGGGAAACTGTCTCTTTGTAAGTGAGAGCCCCTGGGGCGGCCTCATGGCTACCTCTTCCTGCTTTCTCACTTACTTTTCTTTCACAAAGCTTAAGTGGGCTTTACTTAAGTGGTTAAAAGACATACTAGTCTGAGGGACGCTCAAGACACTGACTGACTACCAAATACTGGGCCAGTGAGATGGCTCAGCGGTAAAGGTGATTGCACCAAGGTGGCCAACTTGAGCTCCACTAGAACACACATGGTAAAAGAAGAGGCGACCCCACAGATTGTCCACACACATTAAATGTAAGATTAAATAATCAAACAGAAGAAAGACATTTTTAAGGTGCTTCAGACGCTCTCTTATCAAATCTTAGTAACTAGTTAGGCGTGGTGGCACACTGTAATCCCAGCACTGGAGGCAGAGGCAGATAAATCTCTGAATTCAAGGCAGGCTGGGTCTACAGTGTAAGTTCCAGGACTGTCAGGGCCACACAGAGAAACCCTGCCTTGAAAAACAAAGAAAAAAGCAAAATCTAGCAACCAATTCAGTTCCTTTGCTATAATGACTAGTGTTAAGTCTCAAACCTAGGACAAGTCTCACTCAGTTCCTGTGGCTCCTCCCAGCACTTCTCACCTGCCCCCTCCCCAAACCTCTCTCTCCCAGGAGCTGGACTTCTCTTCCCCAGCCTGACCCTATATAACTCAGCCATTTGGGCCATGCTAGTCTTCTGGCTACGTAGCCAGCTAACCCGGGCCACCTCTCTTCCTCTCCCTCCCCTCTCCTCTCATGGTCTGGTTTCGTCTGCTGGTCATGTTGAGCCTGGACTCTTCCCTCTGCCTTCTTTCTCCCTTATCTCTACAATAAAAATTCTCTCCATACTTTAGGGGTGGGCATGGCCTCCTTCTTTCTTTCTTTTTTTTTTCCATTTAATTAGCACAATTATTCAGATTTATCCAAGTTCCCAAAAGCAGTCCAGGAAGAAAGGGAAACATTTTTCATATTTGTGGGTTTGCCTATTTATTGAACTGAGATAAAATGAAACTAGTACACTGTTTGAATTCACCCCTTCTCAAAGCTGAGTTAAGTGTGTAAGTTTCCTTTGTGATTTTTTTTTTTTGTTTTGTTTTGTTTTGTTTTGCTTTTTCGAGACAGGGTTTCTCTATGTAGCTTTGCGCCTTTCCTGGAACTCACTTGGTAGCCCAGGCTGGCCTCGAACTCAGAGATCCGCCTGCCTCTGCCTCCCAAGTGCTGGGATTAAAGGCGTGCGCCACCACTGCCCGGCTCTCCTTTGTGATATTTTTTTTATCCCAACTAAGTTACCTATAATTTCATTTATCAAATAAGTATTTTGAGCAAAAGAACTCTAACATACCCTATAAACCTGAAGTATTAAGGAAAAAAAAAGCTGCACATGGTGAAGTATTCAAGAGGCACTTGAGCGGTAGAGGCAGGCAGATCTCTGTGAGTTCAAGGTCAGCCTGGTCTACATAGTTGGTTCCAGGCCAGTCAGGGCTACCTTGCTTTAAAAAAAAAGAATTACTTCTCTTTCCACATGTACACTAGGAAACTGTTACTATTACAAAGAAGCTGAATTAGAAACAGCCTGAAAGTGTCATCCTATGCTTGAAGCACTGAAAGTTTTTCAAAACTGTGTTCTACAATAAAACTGTTTGAATATCACAATTTAGAAGTAGATTAATCTGCTCACTCTGTAGTTATCACATGCCTCAATGCAAGACATGGTACTGGACACCAGAGCTACTGTTGTGGAATAATCTTTTTGTACAGTGTGAAAATGTATCTTTGCCGAGATGCCTTCTGATTAGCTTAATAAAGAGCTGAATGGCCAAAAGCTAAGCAGGATGAAGTTAGGTGGGACTTCTGGGCAAAGAGAGAAGAGGAGGAGATTAATCTAAGTGTGGGAGAGATGCCAGAGGACAGAGAGGAAACAGGAGGTACAAGAGAGCAGAGGTAAAAAGGAACGAGGCAAAACAGATTAATATAAATGAGTTAATTTAAGTTATAAGAGCTAGTTGGACAATCCTAAGCTATAAGCTGAGCTTTCATAATTAATAAGTGTCTGTCGGTTTTTGTGAGTTGGCAGCCCCCCCCCCCAAAATCCGTTTACATATGGCGTCCAATGTGGAAGCTTGAATACCCAAACACAGGGCCTGAGAAAGCTAAGAAAATCTGGACAAGGAGCTGGATGTGGCTTTCTAGGCCTGCAGTCTCTCAGGTGGACCGGTGTTTGGTGCACAGAGGTGGTATACAAAGGTACCGGCCGCTGCCTGCGGATTAGAGCCAGCCACCAGCACCGAGTGCTGAGCTGGGCAGCAGCGGCTGACGTGAGGTTAATATGTGTCTCACTTGGTCAGAGAACGCTGCAGGTGCTCAGGAAAGGCAGATCCAGACAGGGAAAAAACAAACAAACCAAACCTCTAAAGAGGTTACAATGTGTGTAATAAAATGTTTGTAGGGTTAAAAAAGGTGAGAAAATGGGTATAGACAGTCATAGAAAAAAATAGTTAATAAATAATAAAATAAAGTCTTTAAAGGGAGAACAAAATAAAAAGCAGAAACCAAGTAAATATGGAAAATACACAGGGAGTCTGGATCCGGTATGGTGTCTTGTTGGCTTTGAATTTTTTGAATGCTGATGAGCAAATAACAGCTGCTGAGAGACATGGGATTGTAAGAGGAACTGCTGAATTAAATCAGCCTAGATACTTTAGGAATGCCTTAACTTTAAAATGGAAGTCAAAAAAATGAACTGCTCTGGAGAAGAGGTTACGCTTTTGTTTCCACACAAAAGGAAAGGCTGTGTGGATTCATTCAAGGTTGATAGAGATCAGGTTTGATCAGGGTAGACCTCCTGAAAACCCTGGCTACAGACATAAAAAAAAATAAACCTTGAAAAACTACAAGACAGGTGACATATATTTTACCTGCTCAAACATAAAACAAAAATCATCTTTGGTTGGCTTGTGTACAACATACAGTCCACACATGTGTTAATGCAGATATGTATGTTACCTTTGAAAGCTGATATGTTTTCAAAGCAAGGGGACCAGACACCAATAAAAACTCTCAGAGTGTCTGCTGCAGTTTCCTCAGAGTTCTACATCTAGAACAGCTTCAAGGCTGCTAGCTGAGATGGTCCAGCCTCATAGACTATTCTAGCCAGGACTTGATCATTATCCTTACCAGAGGACAGAGAGGAAACAGGAGGTGCAAAGTGGAAAAGAGGTAAAAAGCAATGAAGCAAAACTTAGATTAATATAAATGGGTCAATTTAAGTTCTAAGAGCGAGTGAGACAAGCCTAAGCTATAGGCTGAGCTTTCATAATTAACAGTAAGACTCCATGTTGTTTTTTGTGAGCTGGTGCTCCCTGCCCACTCCGTCTACAAGCTGGTCCTTCTTTTTTTTTTGGTTTTTCAAGACAGGGTTTGTGCCTTTCCTGGAACTCACTTGGTAGCCCAGGCTGGCCTCAAACTCACAGAGATCCGCCTGGCTCTGCCTCCCGAGTGCTGGGATTAAAGGGGTGCGCCGCCGCCACCACCACCCGGCTCAAGCTGGTTCCTCTAAAGGTGTTCGCAACTGCTAGTCTACTGAAACAAAGGGGTGGTGAACAAAAGGAAACAATTCTTCCTAGAGTTCCTAGTGAAGGCAACTGCAAAAGAGTGGTCTTCCAGAACAAACAGAAGTCAACTGAAAGAATATGGCTATTCAGGCCTGTAAGCTTTCAAGGACGGCCAGTGACTTGGTTACTTCTTCCCTTGGCATTCACATTCCACATGCTCACAAGCAGGGCAACCTGATAGCCAGAAGGAAAACCACCTTCAGGTGTGCCTTCTGGGGAAGTATGTTCATTAGGTAGCTCTGAGCCCTTATGACCTCTAAAGCTCTAGAAAAGGCCTGATGCTCCCAGTAACCTGCTCTGCTCCGTAAATGCACCAAACTGCAAAGTTATACTCTTTTCCACATGAAAAGAACCCCGCCTGTGTATCTCTGTGTGCCTTTCTCTTCTCTTCCATAAATGCCAAGTTTTAGCTTCTGCCATACCAACCACAGCAAAAGAGAGGAAAGACAAGCATTCTAAGATAAATGCAAGAAGGGATGATACAATGACAGCAGCAGGGGACTGGAGCCTGTCAACCTGTGATGATACAGCAAACTGCCCAACATGTGCAACGTTCTGGATTCTACTGCGACATCAAAAAAAATTAAATTAACAAACAATAAAAAGGAAACTACAGAACCAAGCTTGGTGAAACAAGTTTGTAGCCACAGGTACTATGGAGTCTGAGGACCAGGGGTGGGGTCGGGGTGTGTTTCAAGTCTAGTCTGGAAAACACAGCAGGATGTCTAAAAACTACTATTACTGCAAATAAGGATAGTAGTAAATTAGGGCTAGAGTAGTTCAATGGCAGAGAGGTTGCCTAGCATAGTGAAGCCCTGGGTTAGAGCCCAAAATATTAAATAATTTATATTAATAATTTAATATAAATACTAAATTAAATATTACAATGATAATTACTACAGTTGTTTACTGAGCACTCAGTACCAGGCAATTCGGGTAAAATTCCTCACCTGTATTTTCTAGTCATCAGAGTAGCCTTATGTAGAGCAGTTACCACAAACTTTATCCGTGGCATTTAAAATCCTCCAGGTATTTTTTCCCTCATAGCAGCCCATAAACTGGAGACATTTTACAGATTAGAAACTAAAGAAAAGGTTTGAGGCCAAAAAGTTGAGACCAAATCTCCAAAAATAAACAAAAGCTAAGGTTGACAAAGCTAGCAGAAGCTCAGGAAACTCCCATCACAGAGCACAGGCCTGAGGAGTTATTGATACTGCTGAAAGTTGTGTTGTTTCGCTGGGGCAGTCCTGGGAATCAAGCCTGATACATACCAGGCAGGGACAGACTCACTCACCTACATCGCCAGCCCAGAGTTCTTGCTCTACAATTACTACCTACAACTACTCTATTTTAAAGCCACCATACATATTTAATCAAGAAACAGAGATTGACGTTAAGTAACTTGCAGAGGAGTACAAATGCAATTAAATAAATAAAAGAAAATGGAGAGGGCTAGAGAGCTAGCTCAGCAGTTAAGAACACTTGTTCTTGCAGAGGACCCAGGTTCCATTCCTAGCAACCACAGGGCAGCTCTCAACCACTTCTAACTCCATTTCCAGGGGACCCAATGCCCTCTTTGAGATTTGCAGGCACCAGGCAAGCACATGATGCACATACATACATACATACATACACTAACGAGCATAAAATAAGATATATTGCATGCGCGCGCGCGCGCACACACACATACAGAGAGAGAGAGAGAGAGAGAGAGAGAGAGAGAGAGAGAGAGAGAGAGAGAGAGAGAATGTGAAGAGCTGGTTCAGCAGTTAAGTGCATACACTGCCCTCCCAGTTCCCACATCAGGCAGCTCACAATCACCTACCTGTAATCAGGGCTCTAGAGCAGTGGTTCTCAACCTTCCTAATGCTTCTACCCTTTAATACAGTTCTTCATGTTGTGGTGACCCCCAACCATAAAATTATTTTTGTTGCTACTTCGTAACTGTTATTTTGCTACTGTTATGAATCGCAAAACCTGTGCTTTCTGATGGTTTCAGGTGACCCCTGTGAAGGGGTAGTTTGACCCCCAAGAGGTCACAACCCACATGTTTGAGAACCACTGCTCTAGGCAATTAGATGCCCTCTTCTTACCTCCATGTTTACCTGCAATTATGAGGCAGGCAGATACACACATGCATCGTCTCACACACCTCACACTTTTAAAAATTAATAAAAATAGCCAGGCAAAGCCAGGTGGTGGTGGCCCACATTTTTTATTCCGGCACTCAGAGATTAAAGGAGGCAGAAGCAGAAGATCTCTGTGAGTTCAAAGTCAGCCTGGGATGTTACACAGAGTAACTCTGCCCCCCAAAACAAACAAATAACTAGATTGATAAGTAAGTAAATGAATAAATAATCTCCAGCTATGCTATGTTGCAGTGCCTATGCTTGGTGTTAAACACTCTGCTCTCCATAAATGTAAATATAGACAGTGATCAAAGTGGAGGAGGAATCATAGTTGCAGTGAAAAAAAATACAGACCTTGAAAATAAGTCCACCATAGCAACACACACCTGTAATCAGTGTTTGGAGACTAGAGGCAGAAGAATAAGGAATTCAAGGCTATCATCGGATATATGGTGAGATGGAGGCCAGCCTGGACTTCAAGGTCTTTGAAACTTGTCTCAAAAGTAAATAATAACAAGGCCAGGCAGGGTGGCACATACCTTTAATCCCAGGACTAAGTAGCCAGAGGTATATCTGTGAGTTCCAGACTAGGCTAGTCTATATAGAAAGTTATAGGCCCAGCATGAGATGTTGTCTCAAAAAACAAACAAAACAGATACTAAGCATATATAAAGAATGAGGATGGGAGGTACTCAGTGGTACAGTGTGAGGCCCTGTATTCAATCCCCAGAATGACCCCACCCACCAACAGTTGGCACCTAGTTCTTGGAATTAGGATAGTCACCAGTTAAGAATGAGGATGGGAGGTACTCAGTGGTACAGTGTGAGGCCCTGTATTCAATCCCCAGAATGACCCCACCCACCAACAGTTGGCACCTAGTTCTTGGAATTAGGATAGTCACCAGTTAAGAGGGATTTTTAAAAAAGAAAAAAGAAAACAATCTTTAAAACGTTGTTCAATTCTTGGGCTGGAGAGATGGCTCAGAGGTTAAGAGCACTGACTGATCTTCCAGAGGTCTTGAGTTCAATTCCCAGCAACCACATGGTGGCTCACAACCATCTGGAATGAGATATGGTGCCCTCTTCTGGCGTGCAGACATATATACAAACAGAACATTGTGTACATAATAATAAATAAATCTTAAAAAAAAAAAAAAAAAAAGTTGTTCAATTCTCAAATTCCATTGTGAGTAGAATCTTCACGTCTTTATTACTGTCGAATGAAGAGCTTCTGTCTCCAAACCAGGGGTGTATGTGAACACCTTAGTATGCACCTGTGCTCTCAGCACTGAGGCTACCAAACCTACATGGGAGAGCCAGCCTCAAATTTAAAACAAGAAGAACTGAAGTAAAAATGTAACCAACACTCAGTGAAAATATTTAAGCTATTATCCAAAACAGAAAGGAACAAATCTGAAAGATTCCTGAGACTGGCTAGAATCCAAAAGATAAATCAGGGAGAAGAGATCAGCAATTTTATCCCAAACTCCCTAAGCCCAGGGAACTTTTGTGGTATTACTGTATTATTTTCAGAATTTACCTTGAGTGATTCCTATATTTGTGTGTTAGTCTTCCTAAAATCTTAACCAGAAAAAGAATACAAATCATTTTCAACCCCACTCCCAAAACATAAGCATGAATCCCCTTAGGTGCTAAGAGTTGACTCCAGGGTCTTCAGTATGCTAAGCAAATGCTCTCCCATTCTAAGACCTCTCTAGATCCAGAATGTACACTCCAAATACAAGGCATAATACTAGAGCCTTTCACAAGGTCAGCTCATCTAAACCCATTTTCTCCTTTTACTCAACCCACCAAAACCGATTTTCTTCCTCTAGACTGCCTACTTATGCTGAGTCCACCCGCAGCAATTCTGCTAGGAAAACCACAGGCCAGAAAGCCAGGAGACAAATGCCACTAAGTTTGGTCTTTCACATCCATTATCAGAAGATCCTGGCTGGTGGTGCGTGTCTGGAATCCCAGCACTCTATGGATCTCTGTGAGTTCAAGGCCAGTCTGGTTTACACACAGAGTTCCAGGGTAGCCAGGGCTACCTAAGTGACCCTGTCTCTAAGGAAAAAAACAAACAAACAAAATGCCTTTGAGTTAAGGGTATAATTCAGTAGTGGAACATAGATCCAACCTCCCCAGAAAAATGCTCAGAATTTTCTCAGGCGAATTCTATTCTGCTCCAAATGATTCAGGTTCTTTAGTCTAAGCCAGTGGTTCTCAACCTTCCTAATGCTGCAACCCTTTAATATAATTCCTCGTGTTGTGGTGACCCTCAACCATAAAATTATTTTCATTGCTACTTCATAACTGTAATTTTGCTATTGTTATGAAGCGTAATGTAAATATCTGTGTTATCCAATGGACCCTGTGAAAGGGGTTGAGACCCACAGAAGAGAAGCATTGGATCCGATCTACTGCTTCTGATTACTAAACAACGGAGTGTATATGTACCTAATGCATTCGCGACCGAATGAGTTTTACAAAATCAAAAGCACATTTTTCTAGTCTCAAGTTTACACACAGAGCAGGTAGGGAAACACAAAAAGAAAATTAAAAGGTCAAGTGAAGAGTTGCCTGGTAAGGATGCTCAACTCAGGCAGTAGTCAAGAAGGCAAGGCTCTTGAAAACCCAAGACCCATTTGGGGAAAAAAAAAAAAAATCTTATCACCTTCCAATTCCCAAAGTTAGCTGTCCTGTTTTGACCTTCAGTTGTTTGTGTGCTTATGAACTATCTCCGAAGTAGATGCAAACTCCCTTGTTGTTGAGACCAGATTGATCTGTCTCGGTGCTACACTGAGACCTGTGCCTTGAAGAAATGCTACCGATGCCCGTCAATGTACCAAACAGAAGGGACAAAGTCAAAAAGAAAAACACGCTTGCAAGCAAACCAGGGGCGGGGAAAGGTAAGGGGCGGCTTAGCAATGCACATGTCTGACTGAGGAACACAGAAGCAGCCTCGCAGAAAAACCAACTATCGTCCTTTCGGAAGGGCAAGCTCTCCACAGTCTGAGCGCCGGGCCGGGGGCGAGGGAATGGAAGCTGACCCCGAAAAACAAAGGCCCTTTCTCGGGACCAGGGGCTCACCAGCCCGGGCCCGCCTCCCTTCACCCATGCTCACCGGCTTGGTGAGGAACCTGTTCAGCTCGCCGCGGCTCTTCTCGTTCTTGTTGGCGATTAGCCTCAGCGGCCCGGCCACCAGCTCCACGGAGAGGTGCTCCATGGTCTCCGGCCGCGCCCACGGGGCCGCGGGGTCGCCGCCGAATAGGTACCAAGGCAAGGGAAGCCACTTAAAGCCGGCTCGCGGACGCACACGTGGTGAAGGACTCCACAAGCGTCATCAACCAGCGGCGGCCTCTGCGGCGGCGCCACTACGGCTACGCCCACCTCGGCGGAAGTGCGTCACTGGCGCGCCACGGCTAGTAGGAAGGGAGGCGGAAGTGGCTTTTAGGCTGGCAGGATAACTGATAGACGTGAATTTTTTCAGTGCGTGACCCGACAGAAACAGATTTTCCCAAGGGAGGAGCTTCAGGGGCGTGAGACCTAAGCGTACGGTGACTAACTCTGTATCAGCACAGATCAGATGTGAACGATAAGCAGATTCGTTGTCCAAGATCGTCGCCCACAGAAAAGTGCCTTATTGTGAGAGAACAGCCCGTGACGCGGTCCTTTTTTGTTTTTAATTTTTCGAGACAGGGTTTCTCTGTGTCCTGGAACTCGCTCTGTAGGTCAGGCTGGCCTCGAACCCACAGAAATCTGCCAGTCTCCTTCCTAAATGCTGGAATTAAAGGAGTGCACCACCACCGCTCAGCTGCATTCTTACAAATACTGGAAATAGCCGGCCACTGCGGTGCACGCCTTTAATCGCAGCACTCGGGAAGCAGAGGCAGGCGGATCTCTGAGTTCAAGGCCAGCCTGGTCTACAGAGTGAATTCTAGGACAGCCAGGGCTGTTACATAGAGAAACCCTGTCTCAAAAAAATCAAGGGCGGGCGGGGGCTGGGGGAGGGGGAGAAGAGAGCGAATAAGGGCCAGATGGATGACTTAGTGAGCAAAAGCTCTTGTGGCTGATGACCTAAGTTTGATCTACCGAACCCAAGTCACAGTGGAAGAACCAACTCCACAGAGTTGTGACTTCCACTTGTACGCCATGGCGTATGTGGGCCTTCACACACCATAATAATGATGATGATTCAGGAACAAATCATGTAGAGAGTACATAGAATTTAACTATTAATATGAATGTCATGAACAAGCTAAACAAATGATGTCAAACAAAATGTCATCTCAAAAGGTCATTTACAGTAAAGAAGCCCAGCACTAACATAGGGAAGCTTACAAGCATCTGTAACTCCTTCTCCAATGACCTCTTCAGAGAGAGAGAGAGAGAGAGAGAGAGAGAGAGAGAGAGAGAGAGAGAGAGAGAGAGAGAGAGAAAGCCATTAGAAATTTATTAGAGTACACAATATTTTGGGGAACACAATACCACCACATTTTTTCTCTTTTTGTCTAAAATTAAAAAAGCTTATAACTAATACAAGAAAAACTATCTTCAATAAGTATATGCAATATACAGTCAAGATTACATTAACAATGTCTAGTCCATTAACATTTGACAGATCGAGAGAGAGAGAGAGAGAGAGAGAGAGAGAGAGAGAGAGAGAGAGAGAGCGAGCCAGAGTTTTCGAGACAGTTTCTCTGTGTATCCCTGGCTGTCCTGGAACTCACTCTTTAGACCAGGCTGGCATTGAGTCTCCCCTGTCTCTGCCTGAATGGTGGGATTAAAGGCGTGGACCACCAATGCCCAGCTCTTTTTTTTTTTTTTTAAGGCAGGTAGAACCGTTAGGATGGCTCAGAAGATAAAAGGTGCTTTTCCCCAATTCTGACAACCTAATTTCAATTTCTGAAACCCACACAAAGAACTTCAATAGATACAAATTTATTCTAGTACTTTAAAATTTTTTAGCAGGGTAATGGTGGCACATGCCTTTAGTTCCAGCACTCTCCAGGCAGAGGCAGGTGGATTTTTGTGAATTCAAGGGCTGTCTGGTCCACAAAGCTAGTTCCAGGGCAGCCAGGGCTGTTACAGAGAAACCTTGTCTTGAAAAACGGATATTTCTTACAGTCTTAATATTCACAAGTTTCAGCATCTGTCTAGATGTATTCTATCTCTCATTTGGTACCATGTAAGTCTCTTTCTTTCTTTCTTTTTTTTTTTTTTAAGACAGTTTCTCGGTGTGGATTTGGAGCCTTTCCTGGAACTTACTCTGTAGCTCAGGCTGGCCTTAAACTCAGAGATCCGCCTGCCTCTGCCTCCCAAGTGCTGAGATCAAAGACATGCAACAACACCACCCGGCATAAGTCTATTTCTATTTAAGCGTTTTTGTCTATTATTTCAGTATCAGCCTGTCTACTTGTCCTCTATAATAGTTAAATATGCTTTTCTTTTTCATTTGGCTTCCTTGTGGAAGCTTCTCTGTTTTGCTTTGTTTTTTCCAACATACTCATTTTTTGTTTGTTTTGTTTTGTTTTTCGAAACAGGGTTTCTCTGTGTAGCTTTGGAGCCTGTCCTGGAACTCACTCTGTAGCCCAAGCTGGCCTCAAATTCACAGAGATCCACCTGCCTCTGCCTCCCAAGTGCTGGGATTAAAGGCATGCACCACCACCGCCCAGCTAACATACTCATTCTTTAAACATCTATTTTTACTTTTTTAAAATTTATTTTGGGGGCTGAGAAATTAATCAATGGTGAAGAGCACTTGCTGCTCTTTCAGAGGATCCAAGTTCCTTTCAGCACACAGGGATCACTCAAAGTACTCTTGGCCACTTAACCCTGTTTGGAACCTTTTTCTCTCTTTCTTTCTTTCTTTCTTTCTTTCTTTCTTTCTTTCTTTCTTTCTTTCTTTCTTTCTTTCTTTCTTTCTTTCTTTCTTTCTTTTATTATTATTATTATTTTTTTAGATTTATTTATTATGTATACAGTGTTCTGTCTCCATGCCAGATCTCATTACAGATGGTTGTGAGCCACCATGTGGTTGCTGGGAATTGAACTCAGGACCTCTGGAAGAACAGCCAGTGCTCTTAACCGCTGAGCCATCTCTCCACCCCGGAACCTTTTTCTTTCCAAGACAGGAACTTAGTATATATCCCTAGGTATCCTGGCACTTGATATATACACCAGACTGGGCTCAAATTTAGAGATCCACCTGCCTCTGCCTCCCAAATGCTAGGATTAAAGGTGTCCATCACCACAATGTAAATGTATGAACCTGCCTGAGTTTAGGTGCACCACATGTACACCGAAGCCCATGGGGACCAGAAAAGGGCCTGTGTCCCCTGGAACTGAAATTACAGGTAATCTTAAGCAGCCATGTTGTTTTCCTTTTTGTTTTCTTCGAGATAAGAGTTTGTCTACCTTTGGCTGTCCTGAAACTAGCTCTGTAGACCAGACTGGCCTTGAACTCACAGAGATCTGTCTGTCTCTGCCTCCTGAGTTCTGGGATTAAAAGTGTGCACCACCACCCAGCTCATAAGCAGCTATATAAGTGCTAGAACCCATAACTGGGTCCTCTGCTAGAGCAGTGTCCTGATTTGAAACCTGATAAAGTATCCAAGAGGAAGGGATCTCAATTGAGACTTTACCTCTATTATGATCAGCTGTCAGTAAACTTGTAGGGCATTTTTTTGGTTAGTGATTGATATTGGAGGGCCCAGCCTATTATGGTGGTTCCAGCCCAAAGCAGACTGAGCATGACATGAGCAAGCCAGTAAATGGCCTTCATGGCCTCTGCATCAGCTTCTGCCTACAGTTTGAGTTCCTGCCCTAACTGCTTTTGATAATAAACAGTTCCATGGAAGTTAGTGAAATAACCCTTTCCTCCCCAATTTGCTCTGGTCATGGTGTTTGATCAATATAATAGTAACCCTAAGACAAGTAAGTACATGCTTTTAACTTTCAAGTCATTTCTTCAGCCCCCCCCCCTTTATTTTTTTTGGTTTTTCGAGATGTTTTCTCTGTGTACTTTTGCACCTTTCCTGGAACTCACTTTGCAGACCAGGCTTGAACTCACAGAGATCCACCTGCCTCTGCCTCCCGAGTGCTGGGATTAAAGGCGTGCACCACCACTGCCTGGCCAGCCCCCATTTTTTAAGTATTTTAAATGTAGCATTATCCTGTTTATCCTTCTTACCTCAAAATCATTCCTTTTAATATTTATTAGCCATTTAAATTCCATAGGTCTTCTTCAGTCTGCTTTGCTATTTCCTTTTGAACAAGTACCATCTCTTTGTCATCATTTTCCTTTATGAATTCATTTACCTGGCTGGTGGTACGGAATGGCAAGATTGGAGGATGACCCGCAGCCACCTCTAATTTATGTTGGATATTTAGAGAAAGGGCCAAGCTCTCACGCTACAAAACCAGTTCATTCCCCAAGTTTCTTATCTACCAAGCAATCTTTTAAGTTAGAACTTCCCCCTTTGGACATTTTAGCAGGAAGAGCAATGGGAAAGGCACCACTTTGGAGTCTAGGGACTATTATTACCCACTACTTTGACTAGAAGGAGGCATCCAGGATGAAACAATCCTTACATCAGTTTTTCTAAATTGACACTTTTTGTGTTGACTGAATTGTATTTGTGAAGACATCTGCAGGAGAGGCAGGGTTAATATATGATACGAGAAAGCAGGCAATGGCAACAAAAGTTAATGAGCCTGACCACAGTAAATGAGCCAGTTACACCCTCTTCCTAGAACACTTCAAATAGTTCCCCATCTCCCATGGAGTATTATCTATTTAGGAATTATCTAAACACAATAAAAGAAGCATTTTAATAAAAAATAAAACAAGACTTTACATGTTTTTATTATATATGACTGTTACTGAAAGCAAAGTTTATACAAAGTGTTTTATACAGATAAAAAAATCCTTGGCTAGCAAAGCCATTTATGTGCATACATACAGACACATACACTCAATAGTATTTTACAACATAATAATTATACATATATACAAATATACTATTTAAATTATTTCACAATTTTCCAAAATGAGAGGCAATTATAAAAACAAAAATGAATAGAAAGGTGAATAGTCATTACATTTAAAATGCTACAAAATTATTTTTTAAAATCTGAAGAAGTTATTTCATCCAATATCAAAATTAAGGTTTCAGTATTATATCCCTGTTGCTTTTATCCTTTCATTTTGATAACAACTTTAAATGATTAAAAATAAATATTTTGACCAGTAACAGGTAAGTGAATCAGACTGTTGATCTGAATAAGCCCAATCACGATGACCAGGTAAGTAAAAAAAATGTAGATGATCATCTAGTCATCAAAATTGAGACAAAACCTTCACCTAGTTCCTCATTTAAAACACGAGGAATCAAAGCTTCTGTGTAGAAGAAATATCAATGAAACGCCGTAAAATTCAGCAACTCATCTGTAATGGAAGAAAATACTGACATTATAATTGGGTTATTTTGTTTTTTGAAACTGGGTTTCTCTGTGTAGCCCTGGCTGTCCTGGAACTCGCTCTGTAGACCAGACTGGCTTCACACTCACAGAGATCTACCTGCCTCTGCCTTCAATTGCTGGGATTAAAGGCATGCATCACTCTGCACAGGGGGTTTCTGATATGCCCATTTTCTTAAATAATTTATTTTAATGTTATTTTATGTTCACTGGTTTGAAGGTGTCAGATCCCTGGGAACTGGTGTTGTAGACAGTTGTGAGCTGTCATGTGGGTGCTGGGAATTAAACCCGGGTCCTCTGGAAGGGCAGCCAGCGCTCTCAACTGCTGCGCCATCTCTCCAGCCCCAATATGCCCATTTTCATAATAAATGTTGGGGTTAAAAGAAATAGTTTATTCATAGTCAATTTGCTAATTACTAATATACTGGTTTTTGCTCCCAAGAATTTAACGAAGTTATAAGGGTTGGAGTGCAGGGAGGAAATCAGTGAAGACAGCTAAAATGAAATGAAATGACCCACAACCCACAATATGTGCTATTATGCTGGTTAGGCAGGAACTAAAGGTTTTTCCTTTTTGAGACAGGGTTCTGGCCTAGGCGGGCTCAAACTTGTAGCAATCCTGCTGCCTCTAAGTTCTGAGTGCTGGAGTATTTATTAGACCTGCCTGCCTGTCCCCTGAATTAATCATTCCACAAATTTACGTTCTCTTCACAGAGAATAGGAATCATATTTTCAAAGAATGTTAAACAGGCTCTTTTTTTTTTTTTTAAACTTTTTTGGAGACAGGGTGGCCTCAAACTTGGTATATCTATCCTTGAATTCCTAACCTTCCTGTCTCTTAATTCCCTAAGTGTTGGGACTGCAGGCATGTACTACCAGATGAGGTTCTTTTCTCTTTTTTTTTTAAATTAATCAATCAATTAATTTTTTTAGATAGGGTGTCATGCAATTCTGGCTGGCCTGGAACTCAAAAGATCCTGAATGCTGTCATCAAAGATGTGTGTTACATGCCCAGCCGAGGTTAATTTCTTAAAGACAGCAATGCCATTGCATACCTTATACTACAGTTTATTATTAAGTCTTGTATTGTAAACGATACAAACAGAAATTTAACTTCATAATAAACTATTAAGTTTCTTTAGAAGATCTCACTAGCAAATCAACTGCTCTCCAAGGACATGGCTATTAGGAGATCAGACATAGCAGGGATGAGAAACCAATGATTCAAACTCAAAAATCACGGGCTAGAAATAGACCAACAACTCAAAAATATTAAAGCCCTTCACAGAAGATCCATATTCAAATATGGCTTCTTTCCTAAAATGTTTACATTTATTTATTGTTACATTTATTTATTATTTATTGTGCAGGAGGAGGAGGTGGGGTATGTGTTCCATAGCACACATATCAGTCTTTGGTCATCAGGCTTGGCAGCAAGGGCCTTTACCTAGTGATCCCTCTTAACAGCACCCAATATGATTTCCATTTAGATTTAATTCAAGCTTAATTCAAAATTGGATTTTGTTTGAGGTGTTTTTGAGACCATCTTACACTGTAGCCCAAGCTGTCCTTGAACTTACTATGTAGCTAGGTGGCCTCAACTTGAACTGATCTTCCTATCTCAGCTTCGCAAGTGCTAGAATCACAGGAATATATCACCATGTCTAGCTTTAAAATTTGATGTTTGCATTCAATTAATTTTGATGAGAAGCAAACCGAAAAAAACAATGATACATTAAATACTGTAATATTTTTTTCCTTCCATAAAAATCCAAAATACAGGAACTGGAGAGATGGCGCACCAGTTAAGAGCATTTACTGCTCTTGCAGAGGACTCAAGTTCATTTCCTAGCACTCACACTGGGTGGCTTACAAACCAGCCACCTATAACTCCAACTCCAGGGGATTATGACACTTCTGGCCTCCAAGGACACTGGCACTCATGTACAAACACAAACACAGACACACAAGCATACACATAATTAAAGATAAAATGAATCTCTTAAAAAAACACAAAATACTTAATTGGCTAAGGTGCTGCAGAAAAAAATTTGTGTATAATTTAAATATTGCTTTATCAACCCATATAACATGGCTTAAACTAAAGAAACTGAGGAAACATGACTTCAAACAGTAAAATTTTTACTAAGGTCAATCTTGCCATGTATTTAGATGACAACAGATTTATATCTATGAACACATTTTCCAGATTTAAAAAAAAAAAAAAAGTGAGGCTAAGGGCTTCAAAGAGATGGCTCAGTGGTTAAGAGTTTTTGCTAGGTCAGGTGTGGTGGTGCATACCTTTAATCCCAGCTCTCCAGAGGTACAGCCAAAAGAACTGCTGTGAGATGCAGGCCAGCCTGGTCTACACAGTGAGTTCTAGGACAGGCAGGATTACAAAGAGAAACCCTGTCTCAAAAAGAAAAAATTTTGGCTGCTCTTTTAGAAGATGCAGACTGAATTCCTAGAACTCACACGGTAACCCACAACTCCAGAGGATCTAACATCCTCTTCTGGCTTCCTGAGGCACCAGGCACACACATGATACACATACATACATGCAGGCAAAATATTCAAATACATTAAAAAGAAAAAAAAGTGAGGCCAGGCATGGTGGCACACACCTTTAATCCCCAACTCAGGGGGCAGAGGAAGGCAGGCAGATCTTTGTGCTCAAGGCCAGGCTGGTCTGCACATCTACACCCAGGATAGATGGCCCTACATAGTGAGACCCTGTCTTAGACAGACAGACAGACAGACATAAACAGAGAGGGAGAAATCAGATTACTTAATACATTCAGTGGTTATGAAACATTTCTATATGTTTCTTATTCTTCATCTACAGGAAAATGTTTTATGCTGGAGTGTAGCTTAGTGGTAGAATAGTTGCCTGGTAAGCACAAGGCATTGAGTTTGATCCCCAGCAATACTGATAATTCATTAATTAAAACACATTTTATTAATGGATGTCAGCAATTAATGACTTATCCGCAACCACTAAGCTAAGGAACCAGCCATACTGATCTGGCCGTCACTGGCGATACTACAACAGCCTGCAGGTAAGGAGACAGTAAACATTTCCACACCCACACTCAGATCTCCAATGACTAAGGTTGTGACATGCACAAGGACAAGATCTAGCACTTACAGCATTGACTTCCTGTGATGGACCTACTACTACCTGCACTTTGACTTCTCAAAGAGCTTCTTCAGCTGCTGGAACCTCTCTAGTACCTGAAAAATTAAAAATAATTACAAATATATCCATTTTTGAAAGCTTTGATGAATACTTTCATAAAACAAATACAAACAGTAAAATTATCGTAAAGATATAAATAATGTTTAGAAAAATAAAACATCTTCAGGCCTGGGGACAGAGAATGCTGCCTAGCATGTACAAGACTAGAGCTCAAACCTCAGCACGACACAGATTAGGCATGGTGGCGCATGCCTATAATCCCTGGAATCTTGAGGTGGAGGCAGGAGAATCTAAAATTCAAGGTCATCCTTGGCTCCACAGTAAATTTAAGACAAGTCTGGGCTAGTTAAGTCTCCCAGTCAGTCAGTCTCTCTCTCTGTGTCTCTGTCTCTGTCTGTCTCACTCACACACCTTTTGCTTTAATTCTCAATTATTACCATCTAGTTCTTTCAAAAAACAATATATGTAGATGAAGGGGGGATCTGGATCATTTCTGTCATTTCTTATACAATCATCAAACTTAACAGTACTACAGGAAGCAATATTTTTAAGCAAGTTAGCCAATAAATATCTTTGTGTTTCGATAGGTTAAAAATTAAATTTGGGGTTGGGAATATAGACCAACGGTAGAGTTCTTTCCCAGCATGCATGTGGCTGGGTTCAATCCCCAGCACAAAACTAAGAAAGTTAAGTAAATTAATAAATCTAAGTAAGTCTGGGAGCAACATCTCTGATCTAATGAAAATGTAAAATCTGAGTAATTACCTGATTTGGATTTTTATTCAGCTTGACAGCTAAATATGTAAATGTTTTCAGGGATGGCATTCTTTTCTGACACTCTAGTAAAATTTCTCGGTCATCATTTCTGAGGAGGAAAAGTTGTTATTTAGCTTTTTATGTTGACATAGAAAGGTAGTAAGTTCCACTGCCTTCATAGCTTTCAACAGGAACACCACTTTCAGTAAACTCTATAGTAAAAAGTGTATGTATGCAAAAACCAAAAAGTTCACATAAAAAAGTACATTCTATTTATAAAACAGCTTAGAAACATCAATTATGTACATCTCTACTTTGTTTCACAACTTTCACTGATCTGTGTCACTCCTTTCTAAACTGCGTTTGTAAGAATTTCCTTCCAGGCTCTTCCCCAGATATCAGAATGAGCTATTCTCTCAGCAAATGTACATAGACATTCTCAATACATGAGCTAAATGAATATGGTGGAGTGCATATACATGCTTTAGCACACATGCATTTATCTTCTAGGTGTGCTACCAAGTCCTAAAACCAGCTACAATTCAGTAGTAAAAAAGAAATCTAGTACCATAATCTTTGTAAGTATAGTATTCTAATAACTAGAACAAAACACTCCTGAAAGGTTTAGATCTGCTACAGATCTGGTTAATTTCTCTAGTCTTAATGGAAGCTATGTTAAAGACATGAGGGAGTTTTCTGTACTAAGATTAAAACTGTTCCATTAATCTAAAATTATTTCAAGACCTAAACCAGGGTATAAATTCTAATATTTTTGTTTCTTTGTTTTTTTAATTTTGGGATACTTCATTTTAAGCAAATTCTCTTAATTAAAAACTAATAATAACAATTTCCTTCCAAACGAAAGAAAATCTTTTAATAGAAAAAGGAAAGTTAAAAATAATGAAACCAGTGCTGGAGAGATGGCTCAGTGGTTAAGAGTGGCTGCTCTTCCAGAGGACCCAGGCTCATTCCCAGCAACTACATGGCAGCTTATAACTATCTGTAACTCCAGTTCAAGAGGATCCGACACCCTCATACAGATATATATTCATTCAGGCAAAATACTGGTGCACTCTGCTGACTCCCCAGGGGAGACCTTGCCTTGGAGGAGGTGGGAATAGGGGGTGGATTGGGGGGGGGGGGGGGACTGGGGGAGAGGATGAGGGAGGACAGGGGAATCCGTGGCTGATATATAACACGACTAGAAAATCTCTTATATAAAATAAAAAATATATAAAAAATAAATAAAATTAGTTTAAAAAAAAAAAAAGCCAGGTGGCGATGGTGCACGCCTTTAATCCCAGCACTTGGGAGGCAGAGGCAGGAGGATCTCTGAGTTCGAGGCCAGCCTGGTCTACAGAGTAAGATCCAGGACAGGCATCAAAACTACACAGAAAAACCCTGCCTCAAAAAAACAAATAAATAAATAAACAAACACATAAATATGCAAATAAGTAAATAAATAAATGCAATGAAACCCAGTGTGGAGACTTAAAAGATCCTGAGTTTAAGACCAGCATGTGCTATAGTGAGGCCTAATCCAAAAGCAAACCAGCCAGCCACATGGTAGCTCATACCTTTAATCACAGCAATTTGAAAAAGAGGCAGGTGGATATGAGTGCCAGATCACTCAGGGTTACAGAGTGAGTTTATATCTCAAAACCGAATAAACCACTTCCCAAACAAAACAAACAAATCCCACAATAAATAGCTCTATTAAGAGGGGTCATTCATGGGGGCTGGAGAGATGGCTCAGAGGTTAAGAGCACTGGCTGCTCTTCCAGAGGTCCTGAGTTCAATTCCCAGCAACCACATGGTGGCTCACGACCATCTGTAATGAGATCTGGTGCCCTCTTCTGGCCTGCAGTCACATATGCTGTATACATAATAAATAAATAAATCTTTAAAAAAAAAAAAAGGGGTCATTCACACCTCTGGATAAAAACTGTTATTTAGATTGTTTTACACCATAGCTTGATTGTACCACAATACACTGCCAACTAATTTTGGCCAGTTATTCTTTTTTTAATTATGTGTATATGTGTGTGTGAGAGAAAGAGTGTGTGTTTGCATGCAAGTTCAGATGTTCTCAGGGGCCAGAGACATTGTGGTTCGACTGGAACTGAAGTTGTGAGCAACCTGATGTGGGTTCTGGGAACTAAAGTCAAGTCCTATGCAAGAGCAAGTGTTCTTAACCAATGAGCCATCCCTTCAACCCCTTCTAAAGTAATTAATCCATCATGTACCTATTCAGGATGTAATAGAATTCTGAGGAAATGACAGATTAGACTGCCAGCCTCTCAAAATCTCCTAATGATTTCAAACATTTCAGGAAAATCTTACCTTGTCCATGAAACTATAACTTCTCCCTTCTTTTTGATAACATTCTTTGCAGAAAGGCTTGTAGGAAAAGTAGCAAGTGCTGTTGCTGAACCCTTCACCACGGGGCTAGCCTCTGATGACAAGGATGTACTGTCGTTCACTGCAGGTTCCCTTTTCTTGCTGGCTTGCTTTCTGTGAGCATCACCATTTCTATCAGAATTCTGAGTAAGTCTCTTGGTCTTTTCATTACTTAAATCTGTTTCCTTTCTTTGTTTTTTCTGAGAAGAATGATTTAGACCAGGACTGGTTTTTCTCTTCTTGTGAGCATTACTCAGAGTCCCAGGCAACTCTAAACAATCCAAGTTCGATGGTGGTTCTGATTTTAAAGCATGTCTCTTTATTTCACATGAGCCAGGAGACTCTGGGGTCAAATCAATACAAGTTTCTTCAACAAAGCATTCTAAAGGACTGCCTGCCCTTCCCATCTTTGCTTCTTTATTGTTGTCCTCATCAATACATATTACCTGGGATTCCAAGCCTTCAACAGCTAACACTGGTTCACTACCTTCATTTTTACCCTCATTTGAAGTATCATGTGTCAAATCAATAAAAGCATCTATAGTATCAGGCTGTAAAGAATTACCAATTATCTGTGCATCTTGATCTAAGTTGGTTCCAGAACATTCCAAGTGGTCAATATTTAAAACTGTTACTTCCATGAGTTCTCCCAGGTTTTTAGTCTCAGTGGCTGGATCTTTTGTTAGGTCTATGTGTGTATTAGGAAGATGATCACCAACAGAGTGTGGGATTTTTTCCGTTGAAGGCAATTCTTGAAGGTTCTCAGAAACTTTTGGTTCCCATACTTGATGCAACTTGAAACAATCATCAACCACTTGATCACAATGCTCTACCTTACTTGAGGCATCTTTAAGAAATTCATATATATCTGGAACCTGTGTTTGTACTATAGAGTTCTGTTCTTCATGAATTAGCTTGCTATTATCAACATTCTTGTCAGAATTCTCCAAGTCTTCGACAGACTTAAAAACTGTATTCTGAAATGGAGTAGGTTCTTTCTCTGCTGCCACATCAGCTTCTTTTCCAGTTCTAGGCAAAGATGTCAAGGACTCCTCAGCTACCATACCATATTTAAGGCTAGGGGAGGTAGATGGTGCTGCACGCCGTATTTTCACAATGAAATGATCATTGGATTTCTCCATTATGACAGCATGCATAGGCAGATTAGGGTGGTACTGAAAGCCTGGAGCAACAGATCGGCTTGTCCATGATGAACAGCTTGACTTACTGCTTGAGTTATCAGACTCCAGAGCTAGATGAATGTCCTGTTCAGAGGCATCCTCTTCCTCAAGCAAAGCATCTTCACTAAAATGTGCACTAATAACTTCTTCAGGAGTTGAAGTTGACAGAACTTCAGGCTTTAAGAAACTCAAATGGCCATCTGACTTCAGAGGTGATGGTACTGTTAAAGAGACTGCAAGATCTTCTAAGAGTATGGAAGAGATGCAAGGTTTACTCTTTTCTGAGCTGTATACATTATCTTTACTTAAAGCAAGGTTAGAAGATACTTCAAACATACAATTTTCATCTAACACATCGGGATGAACTGGCAGCGAGAGCCCTGAAGATAGAGATGGACCCTTTTCAGATGATAATAAAGACCAGTTATCATCACTGATGACTTTGGGGCACGGAGAAGCCCCCTCTGAAGCTAGTTCTTCTGTTGTGCAAGCTGGTGCAGAGTCACACTTGAGGCTCTCTAAAAGCTGTTTCTCTGGAGTCTTTAATTCCCACTCTGTCTTTTCAGTACCATTAACACCGGTGTCCAACAGATCAGAACCCTGCAGCAAACTTTTAAATATTTCACCCATCTGTGCATCACTCACTAAGTTAAAAGTAAGGCTGGACGCCTGCTGCTCAGTAAGGATCTCAAAACTCCGCTCTGGCTTAGCACCTGCATGCTGCAACACATGTGCCTCTTCCATGGTGTTTCCTTCATTCTTTCCTGGCTTGGGGGTGCTTGGGCAGTTCATTTCCAGAAACTGTTCTTTACATTCAGAGTTCTTTGTATTATCAGGACAAGTGCTAAAATTTCTTTTTACATCATGTTTTACTGTGCTAGTACTGCTGTTATTTTGGTTTTGATGTTTTTTTTCAAATTTTTCACATCCCAGCGAAGATTTAAAATTCACAGTATTTTCTGATTTTGGCACTTTTTCTCTGTGTATTTCTTTGTCGTTGTTCATATTCCCCTTCTGACAATTTGAATGTTGGGTTCTCTCCTTACATTTTTTTTCAAGTTTTCCTTCACCATTGTTATTTCCAAAGTTTACAGAACCACAAAACTTTACTAAGATTTTTTTAAGCTTTTCAAACAAATAGTCAAGTTGTTCGTCTACAAACTTCCACAATTTTCTTTTCATATCTGGTTGTTGTTGTTCAAATAGGCGGTCAACTATGCCATTCTTCTTCACTTGTTTAAGGTTAGATTCTATAACTTCACAAAGGCTCTTCTGTAAGGTATTGACTGACTTACAGATCTTAGACAAGTCAAGGTATTTAATTAGTGATGTGAAACTCAAAATTGCTGATTCAATAATTCTATGAAATTGTATCAACGAAAATTTCATCTTGAATTTCATGTAATTTTTCCTTACATGCTGTCCTAGCGTCCGTAACATGTGCATAACCTCCACTACAGAAGAAGGTGCAAGAGTAAGTGGAAGGATTTTCTCCAAGCAGGAGATGCTCATGGTTTTACTTTTCCTTTCAGTGCCCAAGGACCTAGATTCATTTGGTCTTTTACTAGATGTAATGCTGTCCTGAGGGGGTTTTGCAACAGTCTGCTTGTGGTCCTTATGCACATGCGCAGTATTCCTCCTGTTCCCAGGGCTGCTTTTACCCGTCTGCGCGTCAGCAGAAGCTCTGGGTCTTGCACTCTTTTCCAAATGTTTCTGTGCTACAGACTTTTCATCATCACTTCTAATTTCTCCTTCTTCCAATTCATCTAAAGACAAATTCTTACAAGAGTCTGCTTCTGAACATTTGTCAAATCTGGGAACTGGTTTTTTATTTTCTTTATTTAGACCAGACTGATTCTTGAAGGTAGAATGAATTGAATTGGATGGAAATTCATCTGTGGAGAAGAATATATTAAAATCACATGACCACTAAGTCTTAGTCATTTGATATTTGCATCTTAAACACAACAAAGTATTAGTTTAATAACCTTTTCCCCTATAAGGCAAAATGTTAATGCTCAATAATCATTTCCATTGGCCTTTATTTCTTGTCTTACAAAGAACTCAAAAAGTGCTAGGGTTGTAACTCGGTGGTAGAACATTTACCCAGCATGCACTGAAGTCCTGGTTTTGATTTCCACAACTGGGAAAAATAAAAGTCCCAGAATGTCAGTTAACTAACAAGTGTGTCATCTGGACACTTTTTGTTCCATGTGATCAGTATTACTTCCTCTGTGTTATGTGATAACGGCTTCTGGGCAAGAGAAGTATACCTGAAATCTAAGACTATACCTCAGTAGTAGTGGAGCACAGGTTTTGAATACTCAAGGCCCTAGGCCTAATAATCCATGTCAAAAATAACAGGATTATGTATGGATGTATGTGTGAAGACAATTGAAACAATTCATCCAATCACTCCCTTTTTAGTAAAAAGTTAAACTCAGCATGGCAGTATACAACTATAATTTTAACACCTAGGAAGATAAAGTAGGATGATCACCAGTTCAAGGCCAGTCTGGGCTATACAGGAAGAACTTGCCTCAGAAAAAAGATGACAGTAGAGAAATGGCTTAGTATCTAAAGTGTTTACCACTCAAATGTGAGGACTGCAGTTTGGCTCCCCAGCACCCACATCAAAGCTTCACAGGTATGGTAGCCCACCTGCAACCCCAGAGAGAGACCTCTGGCAATTCACTTAACTAGACTAGTCAAATTAGTGAGCTCCGGGTTCAAGGAGATACATTAAGAGGAGAGAGTGATTGAGAAAGATATTCCACATCAACCTCTGGCCTCCACACTAGTGTATACACACATGAACATGTATACACTTGGACACTACCCACATGCACACATGCACACAACAAAACCTTTAAGCACGGCAGAGCTGGGGTGGAGCTTGGCAGGAGTGCATGTCTAACACGACAGGCCCTGGACTCAATTACCAGCGGCAGAGGGAAAAAGAAGAATTAAGAGTTGTCTAAATTCTATATGGAAGATGGAGTCATCCATCAAGCTATTTGTAACTGATACCCACTGGCAAAGGGAAAACCAGTTTCCTTTAATGAAGTTCTACCGGTTTATCAACCATACTCCAGGACAGGGACCATGCCTAGGAGTAGTTGGCCTACACAAAACAAACTATTTGGTCTTTGGTTTCTTTTCTGTGGGGAGGGGGGGGCTTTATGGTTCATTTTGTTTTGTGATTTTTTTTTTAAACTTACTGGTTTTTTTTTTTAATTTGTGTTTTTGCAATTTTGTGAGATTTTTTTTTTTTGAAAGAGAAAAATATAAAGTTGGATGAGTGAAGTGAGGAAGATCTGAGGAGTTGGGGCAGAGAAAACAGGATCAAAACATAGTGCATAAAAAAATTTAAGTTGTTTTGGCTGACAGTGATGGCACACGCCTTTAATCCCAGCACTTGGGAGGCAGAGGCAGGTGGATCTCTGTGAGTTTGAGGCCAGATTGGTCTACAGAGTGAGTTCCAGGACAGCCAAAGTTACACAGAGAAACCTTGTCTCCAAAAAAAAAAAAAAAAATTAAGCTATTTAAATTTATATTAAAGGCTCAGTGTACACTTCTATTTTTAATTTATTCACTTAAACTTACTTATTTTTTGCTAAAGGACCACTGAACATGATGTTGTATTTACGTATCTATATCTGTACAAAATAATGATTATAAATGTTTGTTTGAAAAGTGAAATGCAAATGTGAATTTAACAAGTTGTAGATTTTCAACACTATACAAACTCCTTTGTTACAAATAAATACTTATGCTTCAAAATAAATTAATTAATTAATAATAACAATTAAAAAACTTATTTTTATTTTATGTGCACTGGTGTTTTGCCTGTATGTATGTCTGTGTGAGTGTTTGATCTCCTGGAACTGGAGTTACAGACAGTTGTGAGCTGCCATGTGGATGCTGGGAATTGAACCTAGGTCCTCTACAAGAGCAACCAGTACTCTTAACAGCTGAGCCATCTTTCCAGCACCACAGTGTACACTTCTAATTAATATTTGAATAATGATCTTTTTTTTTTTTTTTTTGTTATCAGAAAAGATGGCTCAGGAGCTGGAGAAGTGGCTCAGTAGTTAAGGGGACTTAATGCTCCTGAAGAGGACCAGGATTTACTTCTTAGCACCCATATGGCAACTCACAGCTGCCTCTAACTCCAGTTCCAGGAGATCCAGTGCCCTCTTCTGGCCTCCACAGGCACCAGACACACACTTGGTGCACATACACACATGCAGGCATTTATACATACACAGAAATCTAAAAATTGGGGGAGACTAGAATAAAGGTTCTTGCCACACAACCTTAGTGGTCTTAGTTCAATCCCTAGACCCCATATAAAGGTACACTAGGGTACAAACTCCATGACTGTCCTCTGATCTCCACAAGCATTCCTTGGCACACACAAACCCCTTACATATACACACAATCACACAATAGAAATTAATAGTTTTTGTAAGTCCCCAAAGCACCTATTTTGTTTATATAGTCTACACTGTGACAAAAGGACAACTTATAGAAGATAATATAAACTATTACCTTTAAGACGGTTATCATACTGGGGAATTACACAAGGGCTCTCCACGCTAAGAACTTTTGCTACAGGTCTCACTGGACTATTTAAAGGGCTGATGGCTTCTGGAATAGGTCTCAGATGACTAAAGTCAATGCTCAAAACTGAGTTATCATCATCTTGATACACTGAGTTTGAGTCTCCAGTTTCTATTTTGTGGTCAATCAACTCAGTCTTCTGTGGTGAAGGTACAAAAGTCTCTTTAGGTAAATAAGGATCTAAAGGACAAGATTTATTCTCAACCAGAGGTGTATCTTCAAGAGAAGATTCAAGTTTAGGATTACTGTCTCCCAAACAGTTTACTAGTGCAATGCCAGGTTCTTCAACCAAAGGCTGCAGAAGGCTCTCACTGGCCACAGCTGCTTTTGGTGAAAGAACCACCTTCCTTTTTACACCTTCAGAAATATCACAGTTCAAATCATTATGTCCTTTGGTGTCCAATTCTCGGTCCAAGGCTTCAGAAGCATGTCCTGGTAAAACATCCATAACCACAGAAGCTGTGGCCCTCGTACCACCACACGTCTCTTCCACTTCCATTGAAGGAAGCAAGGGTCTTGTTTGCTCTATCTCTGCATGTGCCGGCAAGGAAATTTCTGTGCCACTAACAAGCATTTCACAAGGCATAGTATTCTCAACAGATTTAACCAACAATCGATTTTCTTCCTTCGTTTTGTTTTCTGCAATGCTGATCCTGAGCTGAGATGCTGCTGGAAGAACCTCCTTTGGCTCTGTTAACCCTGGTTTGGTTTCCTCTGTACTGGGTTCACTGACAGAAGGAAGACATGCCACTGTTTCAGTCTTCTCTGAGGACTGTGAGTTACACATGCCACTGGGCTTGGGCACACCAGTTATTTGATGCTGGTTATCTTGACAAACAGGCTGCTTTTTAGCAGGAGAAAGAGTTAAGTTCAATTTTTCCATGAAGCTTAGCTTTAAGTCTTTGCTTTTTCCTTCATTTGGTCCATTCTCAACTTTCATTGCACATTCTTTATTACCTGTTCCTTTAGAAACCTCATCATTAGAGACTTCACATTTACCATTTTTTGGCTCAGTCTGTCTCTTGACATCAGTAGTGCTTTTCTTTGCTTCTTTATTAGTCCTCTGCAAATATTCAGTAGGCGATTTTTTGTCATTTTTCACATGTCTATTTTCGTCTTTGTTTTCTCGCTCTCTTTTCCTCCTGTCCTCGGTCCTATGTCTTTCTGATTTGAAAGGTGTATTTTCCCACTGGTGTGCCACACTGACATCCTTAGAGTGTGAGTGCTTACTGTTTCTGCTGCTCGAAAGAGAAGATGATCGTCTTCTGTCTTGAAGGTCGTGACTGCTCACCCCTCTGTCTCTTCTGCAATCCTCCCTTCCCCTCCTCTCTTCCGGATGGTATTTACTGAAGCCGTATTTCATGTCATTCTTGGAATGAGGAGGCAACGCCCGATCCACTCTTCCCCGGTGCCCCTGGTCCTCTCCTGCTGGTTTAAACTTCACATCACCTTTTCTTTCTGCTTTGTCCTGAGACTGAAGCTCTTTCCTGTGCAGACTTTGTAATCTTTCATTTTGTCTCTCTGGATTTTTGTCATTTTGAGATTCCACTCGAGTGTGTGGCCTTTCTCTAGAAGTCTCTTTCTCCCAAGAGGAGGCACTGCGCTCACTTTTATATCCCAAACCAGTGCTGCTTTTACTCTCTGAACTTTTGCTCTCAGGCTTTGTTTCACTGCTTCCACGTTTCTCAGGGTTTCCTTGGAGTCTGGCATTAGCCTCTTTGTCTCTTGGCTCTCCATCACTACAGCTGTTATTCAAGTCTTTCTGTGGTCTGTCAGTTCCTCTGCTACACTGGCTACGTCTAACGCCATTCTTTCCTCTTCTATTATCCTCGTTTGAGTTACCTTCGCCAACCTGGTAATGAGAACGTGACCAGACATTGTTGGCACAATGTTTCTCAATACCCGTAGGCAAGTGCAAAGGAGTCTGTGCTTCAGAATGTGATTTTCCTCCTTCTTCCAGGATTGGCTGTGAAGTGTTAGGATGTACATCTTTATGAACAACATCACTTTTAAGTCTGTGGTCAGTCTTTGAACAATCATCCAAATGGGGAGATCTGGATCTTGAGTCTTTTGTTCTTGCAGTTTTATGGTTATTCCGAAAATGTGGAAACTCAGACAATCTATTAAGAAACAAGAATTAACAAAAAAGTAAAGTTAACTGATACTTAATAGTATTCTAGATTTTAGTCACATATGACAGACATACTTTTCAAATTTAAGGGACTATATACTGGCAAAACCAGTATGAACAAGTGATTTGGGCTGGGGGCGTACCACAGTGACAAAGCATTTGCATGTAAGAAAACACTGGATTAAAAACAAAGAATTTATTAGTTTCCAACTCAGTGGGTCCATTCTCAATACAAGGAACTCTCTCGTTTGCTTTTGCTTAGAGGAACTCTATCCCATCACTGCCAGATAGTTCTCTTTGGACTCCGCACAGGCGCACAACTCCCAAGTCAGCATAGCACACTTCGTTTAGGACAAGTGAGCTTACTTTCTTCCCTTCAATAACCTGACTGAATAAAGAGAAAGTCTTCCTAGACAAAACATGATCAAATTCGACAGAATTCCCAATCATACTTTTCTGTTTTATATAAAACTCCACAGTAAGGCAGATGACATATGGAACTGTGGTTCTTTCCTTAGAAGGGTGACAAAAGGCCCATTGTTATGGCTTGGATTGGTGTTTTTCTTAGTGATAAAATATATGAGCCAGCATGACAGTTAGTAGAAGAGCTTGCCTTGGGGACTGGTAAGCAAGGACTCCAATCCAAAGCTCCACCTAATTGGAGGGAGAGGGTCAACAGCCCCAAGTTGGCCTGAACACACACACACACACACACAGAATTTAAATTTTTTTTTTAAAGTTGTATTTATTTATTATGTATACAGTATTCTGCCTACACACCAGAAGAGGGCACTAGATCAAATTACAAATGGTTGTGAGCCACCATGTGGTTGCTGGGAATTGAACTCAGGACCCCAGGAAGAGCTGCCAGTGCTCTTAACCTCTGAGCCATCTTTCCAGCCTCTGGAATTTAAATTTTTAAAAAATAAAATAAAATATAGATTTTATTTGCAACTGCGGTTACCAGCAGAAGGTCTGCACAGATTGAGCTCATCAACATTTCATCATTTGCAGCCCCTCTCTGAGGGACCATTGACAGTTAATGTGTTTGGGGAGAAAATGTTACTTTATCCAGTTGTATAGCTACTGAGCAATTGCCTATGCTCAGCCTCCCAGCCATGCTCATGCAGGCAACCTTAATTTAACTTGAATTGCTCACACACAGAACAGGACGTAAAAGTAGGAAGACTTCTTGGAAGAAGAGTTTTAGCAGAAGAGGGAGAGGAAAGAGATCGGGTAATGGGAATGAGAATAAAATTCATTATATACACATATGAAACTGTCAAGAATTTTTAAAAATTTAAAATGCAGGTATCTTACGTTATCTTTATGTAATAACTTCACCTTAATGAACTTCAACATCACTGACTTTTCAAAACTCTCTTCCTAATCAGTACTCTCTGTGTAGAAAACCCACAACAGAACCTCAGAAATAAAGAGGAGCGTGTCCTAAAGAAAAAGACTTAGGAGACCTACAACCATCAGCAATATGTACACCTTATAGAATGCTGCTATGTTTGAATTGTACTATTTATTCCCATTACCTTCAGGAAGTTTACATGCTGAGGTCTTGATGCACAGTATCTAAGAATATAACCTTACTTGGACACAATATATTAGAAAACCAATACAGATCTCAACTCAGTCAATTAGGTATTAGAGGAGTAACTTGATGGTACAGCTTTCGCCTAACATGTGGGAGGCCCTGGTTCAATCCCTGGCATCAAAAAATAAGCAATTACTAGAAGATACCTGAGACAACTGGGGAAGTGTGATAATAAGCAGCTACCACGAAAGGGAAATACTTTAAAACTAAATTTTGGGATTGGGGATTTAGCTCAGTGGTAGAGCGCTTGCCTAGCAAGCACAAGGCCCTGGGTTTGGTCCTCAGCTCTAAAAAAGAAAAAAAAAGAAAAAAGAAAGAAAGAACTAAATTTTGCTAAGAGATAGAACTTCTGTTTCACAAAAGATACAACTAACAGAGCAAAAGGCAAGTCACAGAACTAGAGACTTTTCCAATACAACACATACTATATATATGTGTAATGTACCCCACCACTTATCAAACCACAAATTTCTAAAAGACAGTGCCAGGTCCCAACTTCTGGTACAGACTATAGAGTACTACCATTAAAAGTTTTGATTTAATCATATTTACTTGTTTTTGTGTGTTTATTCCTGGGTGTATGTGTGTTTGGACACACACACACACACACAAGTAGTCAAGGTCAGAGGAAAACAGGTGGGAGTTGGTTCTCTGCACCATGAGGATTTCAGGGATGAACCTCACGACATCTGGCTTGGCTGCAAGCACCTTTATCAGATGGGCCATTTTAAAAGCCCTTAAAGTTTTACCTTTAAATATACTTTAAAGTATATTTAAATATACTATAAATATACTTTTACATTGTACATTTCTCAGTATTCACATGTTTAATTTTTTGTTTATTTTAGCCATGTTACTATTTCAACTACATGCTAACTAGTTACTATTATAATACTAGTTAGCTCACAGTGAAAATAGTTGGTAGAATATTTATTAAATAATACATAGCCACATAAAACCAATTAAAAAGGTTTTACACACACACACACACACACACACACACACACACACACCCCTTTTCAAGCTGGGCATGGTGGCACACATCTTTCTTTAATCCCAGCCCGAGAGTTAGAGGCAGAAGGGTCTCTATGAATTCTAGGATAACCTGGTCTATAACAGAGTTCCAAATCAATGCTACATACAAGCAAACCACCACCACCAACAACAACAACAACAAAAAACCAAACAACTTCTCCAACAATTCAGGAACCAATGTCAATACAAGGTACACTGGGAATGACATAGGTCAATAAATACATAAACATCTGCCTTTACTTTCTAAAGATCTAAATAAGGCAAAATGGTCCACACAATGGCAGTCTTTACGCCAGATAACATGAGAGTGACTGGGAAAATGCTCAGACCAAGCAAACACATGCCTACTTCATGAAACTTCCACTGTAGTAAAAGAAGGAATCTCATTCATAATTTGAAGAACTGCAGGTATAAATAAACCTACAAAAGAAGTCTGACTTAGACACAGAGACCAGATAAGTATCTCCAGCCAGAAAGATGGTTAATTAGGGGCTGGAAAGGGGGCTTAGTGGTTAAGAGCACTGGCTACTCTTTCAGAGGATCTGGGCTCAATTCCTCTAGATTGAGAACGCTGATCACAACCATTTGTAACTCCAGTCTCAGGGATCTGACACTCTCTTCTGGCCTCTACAGGCACCAGGCACACACATGGCATACATATATACAGACAGACAAAACACTCATACACATAAAATTAGAAACAAACGAACAACAACAACAAAAACAAGATGGATATGCCAAAACCAGAGGACAAAAGGACAAGCCATTCCACAAAGCAGAAAAAGGACACACACAAAGGCAGACCTTGGGGTACCTGAAGGAACTGAAAGAACACAAGAGCCGTGGTACACATGCAGAGGTAAGCACAAGCTGGCCTGAGAAGTAGTTGGACCTATACTATGAGGGACTGGAGATCAAGTTAAGATATTTGACCTTTTATCCCAAGGGCAGTCAAAAGCTACTGACATTACTACTGGTTTGCTTGGGAGTAGGTTGGCTACAGCATCTGAATAAATGAAGAAAAATAAACACAGTGCCAGACCACGGAACATAAGCATCAAGTGGTGGCTTTGAGGAGTGGTTGAGAGGGAAGCATCACAGGCAGAGTGATGATGTGCTCTAGTTTGCCAGTCTGGTGTTAACAGCAACTTCTCTCAAGGACTCTAACGTCAGCACTAAGTTAAATGCCACCCACTTCCTACAAGTCTGGCTTACACCAACTGAATAAATGACATTGTTTTCTACTAAGCTAGAAAACAATGGAAAAAACTTTGTAACAAACGTTTTGGAGAAATTTTGAACGCCCTTTAAAGACTCATGTAGATATAAAGTACACACACACAAACTAAATTGGCCTAGCATGTACGAGATTGTTCTTATGAAGAAATTGAAAAAGAAAAGAATGCAGCAGGTAGACTAAAGAGACAGCTCATTAGTTAGAACACATTACTGCTCTATTTGAGGACCCGAGTTCAAATCTCAGTACCAAGATTGGTTACCTAACAAACACCTGAAACTCCAGCTCCAAGGGGATCTGATGTTCCTTCCGGCATCCATGGGCACCGGCAAGCACACAAACAAATAAAATAAATTTAAAAGAGAGAGAAAAAAAGGACAAAGGCTTGATATTTGAGAGACCCAAAGTAACAGCCAAGACAGAAAAATGAACCCAGGAAGGTAATTAAAAACATCACATTATTAATGTAATTATAGGGAGAGACTGCTGCTTCAAAGCAGGGGGGTAACAGAGTTAAACAACACACATGAAGACAAGTTAAACTGACAGTCAGAAACTGTTTGATGGATTTAGTAGAAGTGACTGATGGTCAAAATGACAACTGCTTTGGTAGACCAGTGGAAGCAAAATAGGATTGGGCTCACTAAGTGCAAAGGGCTGGCAAGATGGCTCAGTGGGTAATGGTACTTGTTAATCTGAATTTAATGTTTGGAACCCAACATGACAGAAGAAAAGCTTGCGTACACGTACGTACACACGTGTACACACACACACACACACACACACACACACACACACACACGAGATTTTAAAAAAAAAGTGCCAAGGGCTCATTGGTAAAGCCAAAACTTGCATAGCCCACAATACTCTGGGTTCAACTTTCCACACCACCCAAAATCAAAGCAACAACAATAAACCCATATTACAAAAGCAGAATTTGAAGCAAGGTGTGGTAATGCATGCCTCAGGAGGATGAGACAGGGGGTGAACAACAAATTCAAAACCAGCCTTAATTATGTGGTGACACTCTATCCATTCTTAAACACAAAACAAAACACAACAGAAAGGGAAGAAATGGCAGCAGCAAGTTAAGCAATTCTTTCAATTCTGTCTCTATGGAATAGATGGGGTAGGCATATAGATATGAACTCCCCTGGACCAAAACGTCACCCTGAATTGAAGAGTAAGAAAAATTAACAACAACAAACCACTTAAGAGGAATTATTTACTAACAAAAGGTTAAGTGTGTATTTCTCCTTTCTTTCTTGTCATTTTAAAAATTGCATGAATTTGTTTATTTATTTGGGGAAGAGGGGGGCCCAAGCATGACACAGCACACGTGTGAAGGTCGCAGTACACTTGTGGGATTGGTTCTCTCCTAGCACCTGGATTTACGGGTTAGTCTCCGGTCCAAAGCTTGGCTCCAGTGCCTTCACTTGCTCAGCCTTCTTCCTTCTAGGCACTCTGGGCATATGCTTCACTGGACCTGAGCTGCTTCCCCAGCCCTGCTCTCCTGATGGCTCAGTGTCAGGTGTGACCAGCAGACCTCAGGAACACACAGTGACTTTCTGTGCTAAGCAGTACTAGAGCAAGAGCCCAGTGATTTAGAAAAGTGTATTTGGAAGTGTGTGGCAATGTTCCATCAGTAACCATCATTATAAACCATTAGCAGAGTATTTGCCATTTATATTAGAACTGTAACTATTTAATGAAATACATATTTCCTCCTTTGACTGAAAATAAAACCATACTTCATGTGAAAGGGGACAGATGACATCCATGGTGATACCTTTGGTGAAGATGATTTATCTCTTCATCCTTACGGTTTATCTCCACTCTGGCAGTTTTGATCAGTGCGGAGATATTCTTCTTAAGAGACTGGTTTTCATTTTTTAAGTTCAAGTTCTAAGACACAGATTAATAAGATCTATTAACAGACAAAAATATATAGAATTGTCAATAGTTCTACTTACAATAACTAGTTGTTGTGGGGTGGGGTTTTTAAAGATAAAGCTTGCCTATACAGATCATGATAACCTTGAACTCTCATGATCCTCCTGCCTCAGCCTCCAATGTGTGGGGTTGTATTACTGGTATATATCACCGTGTCCAGCTTTCTACTAATTGTTGAATAATAATTAATGCTAGGCATTATACATTTTATCTCAGGTTTCTTATTGCTTGGATGCAAAAGCTGAGATTCTGAGACGATAATTAACACCAGAAAAGGCCCACCTGATAGGAAATATTTCAGACAAGCATGGACTGTAAAAGCAGTAACACAGGACAACAAGTTCTGCCTGGACCATTAGACTGAAGTTTAGTTTTAGTAACTACTTAGTTTTTATAACTAAAACATGATCTGCTAGGTGTGGTGGTACACACCTTCAGTCCCAGCACTCAGAAGGCAGAGGCAGGAAGATTATCTATGAGTTGGAAGCCAGCCTGGTCCACATAGCAAGCTCCAGGCCAGCCAGGGTACATTGTGAGACCATGTCTTCAAACAAACAAACAAACAAACAACCCACTAAGAAATGCTAAGCATTCCCCTATTTAACAAGTTAAACATGCAAAGATGTGTTAGTTTTCAAATAAACGAAAATAGAATCTAGGGCTGGTTCTTTCAGGGAAAAGAGAACCAAGAAAAACAAGCTTACAAAAAAGTAGACAGACCACTGTCAAATTCTTTATTTTTGCAGCACAATCACAAAACGGACTACCTGACAACTGTGAATCCCCATTTTTTTTCTACAAAAAAAAAAAAAAAATTCTAATCTTTGTTCCTCAAAACTATTCTCTTTTAGCTGAGTGTGGTGTTACATGCTTTTTTTTTTTTTTTTAATTTATTTATTATGTATACAGCATATGTGACTGCAGGCCAGAAGAGGGCACCAGGTCTCATCACAGATGGTTGTGAGCCACACCATGTGGTTGCTGGGAATTGAACTCAGGACCTCTGGAAGAGCACTCAGTGCTCTTAACCCCTGAGCCATCTCTCCAGCCCGTTACATGCTTTTAATGCAAGCACTTGGGAGGCAGAAACAGGCAGATTTCTGAATTCAGGGACAGACTGATCTGCATAGGAAGTTCCAGGTCAGCCAGGGCTACACAGTAAGACCATCTCAAACAAAAGAGAACTATCCTCTTTTAATCCAGCCACTTCTAAAATTACCACTCAATTATTAATTCATCCAGAACATTTAACTTTGAGTAAGTTTTTCTATAACTTTCATTAATCAAATAATTAAATAGCAAAATCACAAAAAATATTTTTCAAAGTGGAGAGGGATGGATATGATCAAGGTATATTGTATACATGTATGAAATTGTCAAAGAATAAATGTAATTTTACACACACACACACACACTCAAACATAAATGTTTAACAAGGGAGAAATAACCATGATACCTGTGTCTGTATTTCCTTAAATCTTTTCATCAATTCTTTCATTTGCTGCTGGCATTTCCCATATTCTGTCTGCAACTGTAAAACACAAAAGGACTAATTTAAGCATTACTGTACTTCCTTAGCTATGATGTACTTATAGGTTATTTAGACAGATTACATTTGCTTTTATTTGGGTTGTAATTGTTTCTCAGGTTCTAGATGTAGTCCAGGTTGCTTCACTCTTGATCCTCCTGCCTCAGCTGCCCAAGCACTTAAGACTATAGGCAAGTGCCACCATGCCTGCCTAGATTGTTAGTTTTTAAAGTTCAGCCCATTGATAGCACATTTTAATAAGCTTCATATTATACTTCTGAACCTTAATATTCAAATATACAGTTAAAAGAAATTTGTTTCATATAAATCTCAGCAAACATTATGTAACACACAACTTTAATATAAATAATGAAAAAATAAACTGTTCTATTACAGTAATGGTTTACTAAAGTTTATATATTCAGATAGCATTTCTTGAAAAAACAAGTCAGAGGCAGAAACTACCTTAAATACTGTTAATTTAAGAACTACTTCCTGGGGCTGGAGGAGAGATGGCTCGATGGTTAAGAGCACTGGCTGCTCTTCTAGAGGACCTAGGTTCAATTCCTAGCAGCCACAACTGTCTGTAACTCCAGTTCCAGGGGGACTGACACCCCCACAGACACACACGCAGGCAAAACACCAATGTACATAAAATAAAGATAGATCATTAAAAATTAAAAAAAAAAGAACTAATCTCTAAACCCAGAATATTTGTTCAATAGTAAGCTGCAGCCTTCTCTTCAGGGGCTACAGAACTAACTTCTTAGTAACAGTGACAAGTCATACGTCATTGTATGTTGCTTCCTTTGCGGTTCCTTCTTCAGTCAGGATCTCTTCATACAAATCTAAACAGTTTCTGAATGACACACAGGATCTAGCAGTACTGTCTGAAAACAAACAAAACTTCTATTAAAATATTTGTTAGGGTTCTTTCGTGAATTAGTTTTATTAAAACATTTTAGTGAGCATAAAGAATGGTTTGTTGTTTTATATTTTATACATGCATACCATTATCTTTTTGTGTTATGATTCTTAAAGTTGCACCTACTTCAAAGGGTTACATTTCTTCTCATCTGTATTTCATACAACCTACACTGATTTCATAGATGATGGCAGGAATGCCACATTATATAAAAATGGCTGTTTCAAAGAATCCAGTGTTGTAATTATCTCTATTATAAAACACTGAAAGAAGACGGGCGGTGGTGGCGCACGCCTTTAATCCCAGCACTTGGGAGGCAGAGGCAGGTGGATCTCTGTGAGTTCAAGGCCAGCCTGGTCTACAGAGTGAGTTCTAGAACATCCAGGACTGTTTCACAAAGAAACCTTGTCTTGAAAAATCAAAAACCAACAAAACAAAACAAAAACCTAAAAAAACAAAACAAAACAAAAAAAACACTGCAAGATCTGCCTGTGGAAAAGCTCTAATTGGACAGGTAGCCAGACATTCCATTACCGTTCTTCTGATGCATTTGAAGACACTCACAGCAACAGTATTCTCTGTCACAGCATAGGCAGGGATGTGTATTCAACAGCACCAGTTGCCATTTCAATGGTATGAAATATTTTTGCAAAGACCTAATTAAACCTGACTCCTAGAGGAACAAATCTGTGTGCTAATATGCTCTGATCAAGCTTTAGGCCAGAAAAAAATTGCCTCAGTGTAATCATCTCAAAGAAGGGCATATTATTTCAGAGCTGTAAGTTACTAAGAGCCAATAACAATAAAAGAAGCAGAGCAAACCACCCAAACAAAATGAGATGTTTTATGAAATTTACATACCAGAAGCAGCACTGTCCAACCCAGCATAAATGTCCAATGAGCCTTCATCATTATTTTTAAGAGGAGAGGCTGCAAAAATGGCAAAGACTAGTTAAAACTGGCTTATGGGCTGAGGGTTTTTTTTCCATTCCTACTTAGAAGGACAAGGAAAGCACTATATTATTTCTGCTTCAAAGAAACAGACAAGGGGCCAGGTGGTGGTGTCGCACACCTTTAATCCCAGCAGCCAGGCTTATGAAGACCTCATCTTAAGGAACAAAACGGGGGAACCTATGTGAGTTCAAGGCCAGCCGACTCTACAAAGTGAGTTCCAGGAAAGCCAGGGATACATAGAGTAACCCCTCTCTTGAAAAACAAACCAACCAAGCAAACAAATAAAACCTAAAACAACAACAAAAATAAAAAAGAACCAACTGAAAATTCTAAAATAGAAAACTACATATAATTATAGTATCATCATCATCACTGGATATGCTTGACTGCGTGCGACTGATTAGTATAAATTATCCAATTTTTTTTTAAAAACCAAATCTGTAAAACAGAGAGAAGGAAGAAAGCCTTTAAAATCCTATAAGGGACTGGAGAAATGGCTCAGTAGCTAAGAACTCTGGCTCCTCTTCCAGATAATCTGGGTTCAATTCCCAGCAACCACATAGTGGTTCACAATCATCTGTATTTCCAGTTGCAGGGATCTTCTGACCTCTGCAGACACCAAACACGCATGTAGTGCACACACACACACATGCAGGTAAAACACACATAAAATAAAGTGACTAAATCTTAATAAAATATTTAAAGAGTTCTACAGAATGTCAAAATCTCATACAAGATGTAACTGAAATCTAGAAACAAAAGATAAAGGGAAAATGATACCATAGTAATATAAAGGAAGACTAGCAATGGTAAGTTATCCTTATAAATGTTTTAAATTTCTTAAAGATAAGACTGTTGAGGGCAGGGCAGCAGCGACGTAGCCTTTAATCCCAGCCCTCAGGGGGCAGAGCCAGGTGAATATCAGTGAGTTTAAGGCCAGCCTGGTCTACAGAGCGAGATAGAGGACAGGTACCAAAACTACATGGAGAAACCCTGTCTCGAAAAAAAAAAAAAAAAAACCAAAAAAACCCAAAAACAACAACAACAAAAAAAAAAGGCTGTTGAAAGTAAAAATTAAAGCATTATATTGTTGGGTTAATTAGATAGACATCATATTTGGACTGTCATACACAATACTCATAACAAAGAGCAAGACAGAGGACAAATGTAACCATACCTAAAAGATTACAATTCCTTGAACAACCACCAATAATAATGCAAAGAGGTGTAATCTAAAAGCACACATATAAATGAAGATTAAAATGGAATTCAAAAGCACAGGCAAAGAATGTATGCCAGGTCTTCCATTATTTAAACAAGCAGGCTAGGATGTAGGTCAGTGATAGAGCACTTGCCAGCAGCAAGTACAAGACCCAGAGTTCAATTCCCAATACCACAAAAATAAAAATAAGTAAGTAAAACGTAGGTATGTGGACAGATTTGAGAGTGATGCAAAAAAATAAGAGACAGCTATGCCCAGTAAACGAGAATAATGCCATTTTTGTCTTTTAAAATTAATAGAATTAGTGTGATAAACATTTGTGAGGAGTTGGAGAGATAGTTCAGCAGTTAAGAACACTTCTTGCTCTTGTATAGGACTACAGTTCAGGTCCCAGGACCCATATCTGGCTCACAACCGACCATAATTCCAATTCTAGGGGAACTGACCCCCTCTTCTGGCTTCAAGGGCACCAGGTATGTCCAAGATGCACAGACATATGTAGACAAAACACACACACACACACACACACACACACACACACACACTGTGAATTTAGGTTAAAAAAAATGAAGATATTTTGAATTTTTCTGTTGATTTAATTTTCCCCCCTTGGTTTTTCAATATAGGGTTTCTCTGTGTAGCCCTGACTGTCCTAGAACTTACTCTGTAGACCAGGCTGGCCTCCAACTCAGAGATTCGCCTATCTCTGCCTCCTGAATACTGAGATTAAAAGTATATAACCTACAATACAACAACAATAGCAATGTAACAAGTTGAAACTACATTAGCAAAAACAAGTAACAACTACAACTATTCCATCCAGAGTCCTTATGATGCTGATCCGACAGAAGCCCCTCCATGACTACCAACATTAACTTTTGAAAACACATTTCAAGTAAAAATGAACTAAGAGATCCTCCACCCCAAGTGGTACACCTGCAATGCAACCCTTACATTTAAGATTCAGGGAACACTGTAGACAAGGGAGTAGATAACCACAACAGCTGCTTAAAATTGTCTGCCATATACTGCAAGGAAGCCATAGCCATGAAATCTCAAAATATGGTTGCCTAAATAAGACCTGAAAAATGACACCACCTTTGACATGCCAACATGGATGGGGAACTCTCACGACCCAACTCCTAGATGAAGAGCTTTACGAAATCAATGACTGCTGAGAACAGGAGAATCAAGTCTTTTCTAGAGACAAAGCCTATGACAGATTATCTAATCCCAAATTGTCAGCCCTAAACATACACATCTGAACAATACTTAAACGGACTCAGCAGGGTATGTGTGTGCGTGTCTGTGTAAATGATGTAAATACAGCACGGGGTTACAAACCTACATCACTACATTTGACATATCTAAGATATTTCTGTTTAGGGTTGGGGATATAGCTCATTTGGCAGTGTCTGCCTAGCATGCACGAGGCCCTGGATTCCCCTTACCCCTAACCCCCTGCAAAACAGATTATATTTTATGAGCTTATTTTATTACCATGTCTTGTGCCAGATGGTGAAGGTGGTGCTGGCCGCAGCAGTGCATGCCTTTAAATCCCAGCACTTGGGAAGCAGAGGCAGGCGGATCTCTGAGTTCAAGGCCAGCCTGGTCTACAGAGCAAGTTCCAGGACAGTCAAGGCTACACAGAGAAACCTTGTCTCAAAACCAAACCAAAACAAGTCCAAAAAAAAAACAAAAAAAAAAAAACAAACTTACTTCAAAAGTAACAAAAATCTATTTGGGATATTACAATAGATAATATGACCATTCACATGAGCAAAATTGCAACCTTGATTACATTTAGAGACATAAAAGCACAGATTAAGAAATATCAGCCAGGGGCTGGAGAGACAGCTCAGTGGTTAAGAGGGCTTGCTGCTCATCCAGAAGATCCAGGTTTAGTTCACAACACCCACATGTTGGATCACAACCATCTGTAACTCCAGTTCCAGGGGATCCAATGCCCTCGAGTGTCTTGGTCACCAGGCATGCAAATGATGCATATATATCCATGCAGGCAAAAACACTTAAAAAGTAAAAATAAATTTAAAATATCTTAACAAGAGAAAGGGGGAAGGGAGGGGAGGGGAGGGGAAGGGAGGAGAAGGGAGGGGAGGGGAGGGGAGGGGAATCAGCCAGGGTCAGTGATCTACGTCTATAGTCCCTGCCCCTGTACAAAAACTGGCACAGATAGAGCTAAGGAGCAGTATGCTGTGTAGCCGAGTATATGCCCTATGTTTGCTTTTTGGCACTACGAAAATAAGACAACAAAAACCAAAAGGTTCACATTTACTAAGTACTCTCTATGTCCCTGATATTTTGCTGTTAATTCACTTATATACAGAGAGAAAAAGTTGAGGTCCATTTCCCCCAAGAATAAATGATTTTATAATTGAGATCAAGTGAGGTTAGGATTATTACTGGGACAGAGTATGTGCCTAGCATCTGAAAGGCCCTGGTTCTTAAACTCCCAGTACCAGAATTTAGAAAGAAACCAAGAGTAAAGTAAATTCTGAAAGACAACAAGAGTTCTTACCAGGACAGACATCAAATAAACCCGTTCCATCACCATTGTCATCATCTGCTGCCATGGTCCTATATTCTTTTCATAGGTGCCATCTAGGTATTAAGCATAAAGATTCCTACCATTAGAATAGCTTCAACTTGCAAAGCAACTTTCAAATTTGAACACTGAGTAACTTCATTCTCTTTCTAAAAAACAAACCTGTACATTTAAAAAGAAAAATGCCTAACATACTCTGGACAAAAGTCTAAACTAAAAAATGAAACTCAGGGCTGGTAGATGGCTTAGCGGTTAAGAGCAAAGGCTGCTCTTCCCAAGGTCCTGAGTTCAATTCCCAGGACATGGGACTGAAGCTTTCTCTGGCATACATGCAGACAGAGCACTCTACCTAAAAAATAAATAAATAAATAAATAATTTAAAATGAAACTCAAATTTGTAGGTATAAATAAGCCATGCACAAAGTAAATTACACTAATTTCGTGTAATAGGCCAAAATACACTAGTATGTACAATACCCTGAAATTGACCCCTATCATTATGGGGGGGAAAAAATCTCAAAATACAAATTAACTTTTGCACTACAAACAAATATATATACACATAACAAGAAATACAAACACTATCACCACTGACTCCACAGGGAAAAGCATGACAACTTAAGATCAACCTCAGGGTTGGGGACTTAGCTCAGTGGTAGAGCACTTGCCTAGCAAACACAAGACCCTGGGTTCGGTCCTCAGCTGGGGGTGGGGTGGAGGGTGGGGGAGGTGTCAATCCTCAGAACCCATGGTGGAAAGAGAACCAATTTCGGCAAGCTGCCCTCTCACCTCCATGAGCGCATTATGGCACGCACGTGTCTGCCCTCACACAAACACCATACATACAAATGCAACAATAATAAATAAAACATTGAAAAATAAAAAAGCATGCAAGCTGGAGTATGGTTCAATGGTGGAGCATTTGCAAGCATGTATGAAGCCCTAGACTCTCTTGTTAGTAACACAAAAATAAATAAAAAAGAAACACACACTCAGGGGACTGGAGAGATGGCTTAGTGGTTAAGAGCACTGATTGCTCTTCCAGAGGACCCAGGTTCAATTCCTAGCACCCACATGGCAGCTCACGACTGTCTTTAATTCCAGCTCCAGGGGACCCAATACCCATAGCAAAAAACAAACAAACAAAAACAAAACAAAACAAAACACCAATGCACATAAAATAAAATAAAAATAAAGAAAAAAAGAAATACACACTCAGCAGGTAATGCATTTGTGCAAGCCTGATGATTCAAGTTCAATCCCAGGAACCCATGTAAAGGCAAGAGAACCAACTCTATCAAGTTGTTCTCTGTCCTATACATGCTCATTAACATGCTTGTACTCACATCACAAATACACACACACACACAGTATGTGTGTATATGTGTATGTGTGTGTGATTTAAAAAAAAGACACAAACGCACATGTACATATGCACATGAAAAACTTCAAAATAATCACTAGAAAAATTGGTAAAAGGCACTTTAAAAAAACACCTTTAGCCGGGCTGTGGTGGCACACGCCTTTAATCCCAGCACTCGGGAGGCAGAGGCAGGCGGATCTCTGTGAGTTCGAGGCCAGCCTGGTCTACAGAGCAAGATCCAGGACAGGCTCCAAAGCTACACAGAGAAACCCTGTCTCGAAAAACCAAAAACAACAACAACAACAAAGACCACCTTTATCTATTAATTAGAGGGTTGTGCATATGTGCCATGTTGCACGGTCAGAGGACAATGTTCACGAGCCTATCTGTTCTATTCTCCCTTTCCATCATGTGGGTCTTACGGGGTGAACTCCAGTCATTAGTTGGCAACATGAAAACCCAGACTTTTTTCTTTTTTAATTGCTTTTAGAGGGCTAGTGAATTGGCCCAGTTAGCAAAGATGCTTGCTGCCAATCCTGATGACCTGCATTTAACCCCAGGACCCACATGGTGCAAAGAAAAAATCAACTCTACAGTACATATATGTATGTACTGTGTTTAGAGCTAGGCATGGTGCCATGAACCTGCAATCTGAGCATTGTGGAGGCTGAGACTGAGAGTTTGAAGCCATTCTGGTGCACATAGAAAATCCCAGGTCAGTCTGGGCTACATGGCAAGACTACCTCAAAATAAATAAATATTTTGTTGTTGTTGTTGTTTTGTTTTTCTGAGACAGGGTTTCTCTGTATGGTCCTGGCTGTCCTGGAACTCACTCTATAGACGAGGTTGGCCTCAGACATCAGCCTGCCTCTGCCTCCTGAGTGCTGGGATTAAAGGCGTGCACCACCACCACTCAGTAATAAATAAGCTTTTAAAATTGTTTTTAAAAGTTGAAGTTCAGTGGTAACAAAGGAAAAGCAAATGAATTAAAGAGGTACTGTGTGTCTAAAGAAGTACTGGCAGCCAGGCTTGAAGGCAGAGGCAGGTGGATCTTTGTCAGTTACAGGCCAGCCAAGGCTACACAGTGGGACCTTGCTTGAGAGGGGAGGGAGGGAGAGAGATGGACACCTTGGCTCGAGTCTGGGAGGGTTTCAGGAAGGCTTCTACCATTCAGAACAGATAAAAGCAGCCCACCAGGACTAAAGTGTTCTCACAATCTGGCTTATGCCAAACACCTGTATCAGACAAAGCCTGTGTATGACCATCAACCCCCATCCTAGGCAGTAAGTCTCTACTGTGCTTTCCTTGTCAACATTTGTTGATATTTAATACATATCGTCACAAACTGCCTCGATGCCTGGGTGGCCACTCTTCAACTTCCAGATGTTGGCAAAAAGGTATGTGAATAATAAAAACACACTGCTCACAGAAATTCACTGAGATGTACAACTTTCATCTCTATAAAGAGAAAAAAAAGGTGGGGTTCTCCTGTGAAGATGTGTGCAAATACATATTCAGGTTAGGCTACACTCTAACTTAGAATGGCCTTATGAAACTGACTTCACCTAAGTTAAGGTGCAATTGCTACCTACACCCAGAATTTACCCTATTTGACTTCCATCGTCATACTTCAGATACACACTCTTTTGATTCTTACAGCATTCACTACAAATTAAGTCAATTAAGTCTTAACATATCATCTTGGAATCTGTCCCAAATTCTTTTCTTCTATTTTTATCTTTTAGAATGTACCTATGGCTGCCCAGGAGCTGTGGACTGCAATCATCTTCACTCTTTTTTTTAATTTTTTTTTTATTCATTTCACATATCAACCACAGATCCCCCTCTCATCCCTCCTCCCACTCCCTCCCCTCCCCCAACAGGGAGTAGTCAGCATGGGGAGTCAGCAAAGCCTGGTACATTCAGTTGAGCCAGGTCCAAGCCCCTCCCCCAGCATCAAGGCTGTGCAAGGCATCCCACCATAGGTAATGGGCTCCAAAAAGCCAGCTCAGGCACCAGGATCCTGATCCCACTGCCAGAGGCCCCTCAAACAGATCAAGCTACACAACTGTCTCCCTATGCAAAGGGCCTAGTCTGGTCCCATGCAGGTTCCACAGTTGTTAGTCTAAAGTTCGTGAGTTCCTACAAGTTTAGTTCAGTTGTCTCTGTAGGTTTCCCTATCATGATCTTGACCGACCCCACCCCACCCCCCATTGCTCATATCACCCCTCTTCCCTCCCGTCAGCTGGACTCCTGGAGCTCGGCCTGGTGCTTGGTTGTGAATCTCTGCATCTGCTTCCATCAGTCACTGGATGAAGGCTCTATGATGACAGTTAGGGTATTCACCAATCTGATTACCAGGGTAGGCCAGTTCAGGCACCCTCTCCACTATTGCTAGTAGTTTAATCTGGGGTTGTCCTTGTGAATTCCTGGGAATTTTCCTAGCACCCCTTACCCCATACTGTCTCCCTCTATCAAGATATCTCTTTCATTGCTCTCCCACTCTGTCCCTCCCCCAGCTCAACCATCTTGTTCCCTCATGTTCTCCTCCCCCATCCCCTCCCCTCTATTGCCCCCCACCCCCAGTTTACTCATGGGGATTTCCTCTGTTTCCCCTTCCCAAGGTGATTCATGGGTCCCTCTTAGGGTCCTCCTTGTTTCCTAGCTTCTCTGGAGCTGTAGGTTCTAGTCTGATTATCCTTTGCTTTACATCTAGTATCCACTTATAAGTGAGTACACAGTTTGTCTTTCTGAGTCTGAGTTACTTCACTCAGGATATTTTCTAGTTCCATCCATTTGCCTATAAATTTTATGATGTCATTGTTTTTACAGCTAAGTAATACTCCATTGCTTCACTCTTTTCCTTACTTAGGGTTTCACTACAACATTTTCATACACATTTATCATACTTTGCTGATACTTACACTACCCCCAACTCATTCTGTAACCCAAGGAAGCCTTAAACTTGTGATCTCCTACCTCAGCCTCTTTAGTAGATGGTATTAGAAGACTAAGACATCTAGGCAAGCTATATATATTTTTTTAATCCATTCACCTACTGACGGGTATCTAAGCTGGTTTCCTATCTTGGCTACTGTGAACAGTACTACAGCAAACATACTTTGACTCCTTTGGGTCTGGGTAGTTTGAATGTAATTGGCCCCTATAATCTCATAGCAAGTGGTACTATTAGGACATATGGCTTTGTTGGAGTGGGCACAGCCTTTGTTGTTAGAGAAAGTGTGGGGCAGGCTTTGAGATTTCCTATGCTCAGGATACCGCCTAGTGTCTCAGTCAATTTCCTGTTGCCTGCAATATGTAACTCTCAGCTACCATTCCAGTACCACATCTGCCTGCACACCACCATGCTCCCCACCATGATGATAACGGACTGAAATTCTGAACTGTAAGTAAGCCACCCAAATTAAATGTTTTCTCTATAAGAGTTGCCATGGTCATGGTGTCTGCAATAAAAACTCTAAGACAGGGTCTATACCCAGTCATGATATAGCTGAATCATATGGTGGTTTTTAGTTTTGAGGTGGACTCTCCATATTGATTTCCATTGTAGTTTACACTAGTTACATTTCTACCAACAATGTGTAAGGGTTCCTGCTTCTATTCTTCCTTGACAACCAATCTTTTCTTGTTTTCAAATTTCATTTTATATGTGACACATGGGTGAACATTTCA